TATTTAAATAATTAATAACCTTAAGGAATTTTAGAGCTATAATATACAAAATTAATTCAACCAATTTTTTTCCAAATATTTATAGCATGGTCAATATCGTAACTTGAACTGCGAACTCATTGGAGGAGCATCATTGAAATTAGAGGGGGGGGGGTAGTTAGTTTTGAAATAATTATCATTATTTGAATAAAATTGGAACGGGATGAATGGCATTTTCTTTTTTTATTATTTATATTTGGTAGGAGGTTAAAAGTTTTGAGAGGGTTGTTATCATTTATAGATATGTATACAAGCCCCTGATTATATTCTCCGCAGTCCTTTTCTTAAGTTAAAATAGGAAATGGTATAGCAAGTATTATCTTATATTAATAGATCCCTTTAGGTCATATTTTTTTATATCTAATTTACATATAGAATAAATATCCTTACAAAATAAATTTCATTATAAAAAGTTTTTTAAAAAATGATTTTTTTATTTATTGAATATGTGAAGGAAAAAGTAGAGCATTGCCATATCATATCGTCTAAACCAATAATTTGTTTGTTAAATATATATATAACTGAAGTGTAAAATTTTAAAAGAATCACTGATTTGGACAAAGACTGGTTAAAAATAACCATGGAAAAAAAACATCGGACAAAAACACCCCAATATAAAAAAATTTACATGCTTTAATAAATAAAAGGAAAATGTAATCCTCGTTTTAAACTTTGCCCTTTAGTGTAATACTTGAGTATTATTTTATAATAATATTTTTCTAATAATGTTGCTCATCAAAAATGATCATATTTGTAATGGAAAACAACTATATGACTCAAGGGCTTGGAATATGAATTTTAAAATAATTTTATAATGCATGACGAAAGGTATTATTTTTGAAATATTAATCGTGGGATTGATATGGTAGAGAAAGACTGCGTCACATAAAGAATTTGTAAAAACCTTCATAAAATCTGTATCTTGATGAATGAGTCTGTATGTAGCTAGCTAAATTTTATACCAAAGTAGACCTTCCTATATTTTTGTCACAAAAAAATAATGCAAATATAAAAAAATTGGGACTATTATTATAAAAACAAACAAAATTTTTATTATTGTAGATAGGAATTTAAAAAATTAAACATTCAATGTTATATTAATAGCGATTCCTTTAAGATAATCGAATCTTGATCGATTTTCAAAGTCAACAATTGTTACTATTCTCGCATTAGATATTTTTTTCTCGAGGTAGAGGGTGTTTCACCAGAATTATATTGAGCAATTTTTAATCAACCCTTGTTGTTTTTTTAAGCCTAGAATATAAATTATATAGTTTATTAGTAAATCTTTATACTTTTTAATTCATTAAATAATAGATATATAGATAACTTGATATAAATTTCCACATGTTTATATGGTGACTAGTTATGAGGGAACTGAAGCATCTATGCTACCCTTCAACCGCATTGTTGGTTTTCGGTTCCCCGTTATTGGTAACAATTCCGTAGTTCAATATTAAACAAAGCAGGTAGTCTGCCTCTTCCAAACGTTTTACCAATGTAAGCTTTCAAAAGTTTCAATTAGAGGATGAAGTAACAATTGATTAGTAGAATAAAATTGAAATTTTAGTAATTCAAATGTTTCAACTACATTTAAGGGTGGCACAAATGCCAAGCAAACCATCATTCTAAGTTGTATATTAAATTATTTCTGAGATATTTCTGGATATTTTTGAATGGGGAAACACTTCATTAAAAGCTTTTACAATCCGTCATAATTTTTTTCGGATTTGATATTAAGTTGTCACCTATAATAGTAAATATTCTTTTATATGTTTCATAATCCTTTCTATTGGTCAATATATATATGAGAGGTAAAACATTATTATTTTTAATCCCATGAATTGTATAAATATGCGTAAATAAAGGTGGCGACGATTTAAATATACCATCAGAAAACCAATGTTCGCATGAAGCTAAGAAGGCCAAATCTTTTCTTGTTCCAAATATGATAACACGGTCTAAACCTAGCACATATAATAAATAAATAAGCAATTATAATAAAGTGTTTCTTATCGGGCAGCTTATCGCAATAAAAATAAAGTGTTTCTTATCGGGCAGCTTATCGCAATAAAAATAAAGATTTAGTTATTGTTCAAATTTATAGAAAATCTTACCGGACCATCATCATGAAGTATGAAATTCTTATACTTATCTGTAATTGAATATTCATGCGGAATTACCAGCTCAATAAGGCTGCTAGAATTCGGAGGTGCAAAATTTGAACTCCGCGTTCGGTGAATTTTGTTTCATAAGATTCGGTGATGGTAGTGCCATTGATATAGAATCACTTAATTGAGATACGTGTTTCGCCACAATAAAGTTTGGAGTTTCCATAGTATTATTCAAAGCTTCATTCTTAATTGAATTGATTATTTTTTGGTTTCCATTTCGATTGGAATTTCTGGATGATTGTGTATTTCTTTATTATCTTTTATCTTACCATTTTTTTTTGTAAGTCGTAAGGGACATTTAAATATATCTTGATTAAGGCATCTATAATAATATGTATCTGAGACTACTTTATCCAGGCGGAACAAATAATTTTTAAAGGTTAAGATCTCCTTATTTTTGCTTGATAACATATTTTATAAGACACCGAAATAAAGAGGAAAGAATGGCGAAAATATTTATAATTTATAACCAAAGAAATGGCACCAGTCAGACGAGAAAATATTTTTTTTAAATTTCGGCAATATTTTTTTTTTAATAGTAATAATTTAATATGTCAGTAATTATTTGTTAATTTTTAGTGTAGCTATTTTTCTATTATATTTTAAAATTATTTAAGATTCAATAAGAACCCATATCTAAATATTATATTTAAATTAATTGAAATTAATGCCGAGATATTATACTAAAATTTTTATCACGCCCCCCCCCCCAACCTCCTCCAAATAAATAGAAAAGATAAAAAGATATAATAAGATTAATAAATATTTTAAATTGGGAAAATCCCTAATTTCACAGATGTAATTTATTTTTGAATTGCCATTCAAAATTGATATTCTAAACAGTAATGTTGTATACTTTATTCATCTACACTGTTTAAGAATAGTGACTGCCAAAACCACGGTTGTGCATTTGACCGGTCAAATATGGTTAAAATCAAATAAATATTTTTTTATATTGAATATCATCATTTTCTTTAATATTTTTTAATCAATTGTCTTTTTATCTAAATCTTCAATCGATTTCTGTTTTAGTAAGATTATTGACACAAATTGACCAATTTATTTCTGAAGAAGAAGTAGATCTAGGAATTGTTAGTAATGTCACTTTTCTTAATGGCCATGGTGGTCAAAGCTAATTCCACTGCTTGAGATATTGCTTCTTATGGAAGTTCTTTCGCCATGCTTTTCTATTAAACAAGCCGCTTTTATTTCTGAAATTTATGATATAACTTGAAATATTTTGATCACCACCTTGTATGCCTAATCCTTTTATTATATTACACACTTCATTAATTTCACTATGATCAAAATTCTCTCCTTAATATTAAGAACTCAATAAATAGCAGCATTGTGATCACATGTATTTATATCGTTTTTTCTTTTTCAAACATATTTTTATATTCAGATCTTATATGACTAACCAAAATCTAGTCATTTGACTGGTCAATTGACTGACTTGCTAACCCTGGCCAAAATTGATTGATAAATTTATAAATATTAACTCATCAGACAATAAATAGGAATGCTACCCAGATATCAATTTCGCCAGTAAATATCTAGATTTAACTAATAAACTCAATGATTAATATATTGATAAAACTGAGTTCCTTGTGCGCGATTATTATAAAATATGAACTTCGAAGAAAAGGATAGGATAGCGAAAAAGTGTATGAAACACGTTCTAAATTTATTAATCATTATATAAATTTTTTAAGGTTAAAAGAAAATTAAAACTATGTGAGTTAAAAAAATATTATTCAAATAATATAATTATAAAAAAATGATTCAAAATAAATTAGTCATTATTCGCAATTATCGCGATATTAAATTCTCTATAATATCTTCGCGATATATGTTTCGCGATAATAGCTTCACTATAAAATTTTCGCGATTATTGATTCGCGATTAAAGTTTCGCGGTAATGTATTAGCTTTAAAGGTTTCGCAGTAAATTCGCTATAAAATTTTCGCGATTATTGATTCGCGATAAAAGTATCGCGGTAATATATTCGCATTAAAAGTTTCGCGATAAAGGTTTCGCTATAAAAAATTCGCGATATTTGTTTCGCGATATTGTATTCGCGGTAATGTATTCGCTATAAAGGTTTCGAGATAAAGGTTTCGCTCTAAAAAATTTGCGATATTTGTTTCGCGATATTGCATTCGCGGAATAGTATTCGCTATTATGGATTCGCGATAAAGGTTTCGCTATAAAATCCATTCGCTATAAACGACATTCGCGATAAAAGTTTCGCTGAATTGACATGTAACCGTTTTTTTAGAACATGACCTAAATTTTAAAATACCCTAATTTCAATGAATGCATTATTACATTAGCATCACTAGAGGGGGGAGCTTGAGCCCCCTAAAAAATTCCAAGACCCCCCTCAAAATTTTAAATTTCATATTTTATACCAAGTGTAATTTTGATAACTAAAAAAAGTAATTTTGAAAATGTTATAAAAATTTTTTTGAGTCCCCTAAGATTGTAAAGGCAAGTGACACCCCTTCATTATCATAACATATTATTTGGTAGGAATATGAGTTAGCTTATAGAATGTCTAACCCTTTTAAATTAAAGCAGGAAATTATCCAGAAATAAATTATATTTAAAAAATAAACTATGTTAAAATTAGTCAATATTTAGCAATTTATATTATTATAGGTCAGTAATTAAATTATAAATATCTATAGCAATTTATTGCTATAAAGCATTAATGTAATAGATAAAATACCCCCTCCTCCCTTTTAAATGCTTACCCCGAAACCCCCTTTAAAATATTTAATGTTTTCTATTTTTCTAGTTTATTTATCGGGAAAACCATACCCGTAAAAAAATTCAGGAATATGGAAATAGAAAATTGTATATTTGATATAGGCAATTTATTGGTTTATAATCCTGCACCCATTTTTTCAAACATAAAGTATTGTACTTATAAATTTATCTATATTATATTTTCCTTAGAAATTATAACGATATAATAAGGGATATAACTCATGCCAATGTCAAGCAATTACTCAATAGGATTAACAAGGCATTAAAATATTTTATAAATATATGATCTAAATTATATAATAGCTGGAAAGTGAACGGAAAGAAGATGTTATTGTTGTTAAGGTATATTTAAATATATATATAAATATTAAGTTATTATTTTAAGTTGCCTCCATGTGAAACTCGTCTTCCAAGAGAAAAAAGAGTACTACATACTTATCTAAGATTTTATATTAAATTATATAAATTTAGATTCCAATAGCTAAACCAAATACTAAATGGGAGGCTTTTGCTAAATCAAAAGGTATCAAAGATAAAAAGAAAGAAAGAATGGTATTTGATGAAGTAACCAAATCTTGGAAGCCAGCTTGGGGATATAATAGAGCAAATGATGAAAAAACTAAAAATTGGCTTATTGAATTACCAGATAATGCAAGTTTGCTTATATAAATTCATTATTATTATATTTGATTACAATAAAACTTTTAATGTTTATGATTTACTGCACAATTAAATTCTTTTATTTTATTATTTAAATTAATTTATCTTTTTTTATGAAGCTAATTGCTTTCTATTTTTATAGCAACATTGTTTATGATAATAATTTAGAACACTTATTTCTTTTTATATATATTAGATAACAACTTAGCATAGACCAAAGCCTGGTCCATTATCTGGGCTGGGATTTTAGGCTAGTCTAGACATTTTAAAAAATATTAGCCCAGGCTGAACTAAAGTTTTAAAAATATTTTTTTGGTTTTCAGTACAAATCATAAATTTTCCAAATAATGATCAATGTTTATCTAATGGATTATGCTAATTTTTGATTAATCTCCACTTGTAAAATGATTGGGATCTTCTCAATAGCTAGACATACTTTTATGCTCTTTCAAAACTAAGATAAACCAGAGGCCATGAAGGGCTGTAAGCCTTGAACAGATATCTGGTAAGTCTCTTATCGATGAACCATTAAGAGAGACCTTAGGATATAGATTTTGATGCAACCCAGTGACATAACCATAATAGAATTAAAAGGGGCTGATATCAATGCCACTCTAAATTATTAAGCCTCCTGCTCCTAGCTTGTATATCTAATATTCTATAACTTTTCATTTTTCAACATATGATAGCCTAAGACCTAGCAGCATGACCACCATCTCCTGTCCCATATGAAAATCTCTTATTTGGAATTATACATGTGTCCCATCATTCCCTTCCAATATAAATAACAACTTGCTCACTCTAGCAGATATTAAGGAATATCAACAAATATAAAAAAGCAATTTTATATTCTACCAATTGAAACTTCTGTCAATAGACAGTTTCCATATATCACCTTCAGTTCATAAAAAAAAATTTAGCTCACAGAATAAAATTACAAACAATCGAACCTAGGGATTAGGTCGAATGTACAATTAAATAATTTTTTATTGTTTTTTTAACACAATTATGTTTTTCTTAAAAAATTTTTCCATTTTGGTTCTTAAAATTTTTTTTATATAGCTTCATGCAATGTTATTAATTTTATACAACTTTATAATTGAGCTGATACCCTTTTTGTTTTTGCAATAAATCTTATTTCTAAATATAATTCAATTAAAAAAATTAGATTGAGAAGGTATAAATTATCAATTTTTTCTGCAAATTTCATGAAATTCTATCAACAGGGTCCATATGATTTTCCAGCAAATTAATTAAAATAATTCAAAGAAAATTGGTCTTCTCAGGATTTTTTTATTGATTTTTAAATATTAACATTTATTGGGTTGGGTTCTGGGCCAGGTTTGCCTGAATAATACTAATAAAAGTATTATTTACACGATCTGAGGAAAATATTCTTTGAACAATCTGATTTGAGTTATTTTTCTTCTTCAAAGATCTAAGTCCTATCCGAAATTTGAATTTAGCAATCGGTCTAATCAAATCCGATATTTTTTTAAAATATATATTAGGTGTAATTTAAATTTTTCGTATTTTTTTCTCGTTTTTTTTGTTTTATTTTACTTTTTCGGCTGTTTTTAATCGAAGCTAAGCGGTCAGCTATTTAGTAATAAGTTGAACCGCTACACACCATAAGGCTGTGTCCAGGTTTAACTTAATATTTAAAAAGCCGTTTAATAACACCCCACTTCTTAACAATGTTACTTCTTTTGCATAAATATATATATAGATCATTTACCATCACTTAAAAACTCGAATCTAATTATTGATTAAAATGTTTTTTTTAATCATATTGGGGTACATAATGCCATCTACTACAAAGATGCCTATTTTAATTAAAAAAATATTATGAGGCATGCATATACAAAAGTTTATAATAATTATTATAAACCTGTTTTTATCACATTATTATCAAATTTTTCTTATTAATATATAGGATATAAAAAATATATCTCTCCTGAATATTTTTTAAAAATGTCATTTACTAGGTCTTGCAGTGAGGACCTTATGTATCTAAATTTTAATTTAATTATTTAACACGTATAGATCCTTTTGATGATGCCTTCGCCTTGAAACAGCAAAAAAGAGTGGCTAGCGATAAAAAAATTGAAAGAGCTCAAATGAATAACGCGAAAAGAGCAAAAATAGCGACCGGTTTGAATCAACCCTTCAATCAAATATCAAGCTCCTTTTCTTCCAATAAAGAAGTTATTCACCCCTCCCCCCCACCTAAAAAAAAAAAAAATTTTTTTATTATAAATTTGTAATATAATATTTCCATTTTTTCTTAAAAAAAAATAAATTTAAGCATTTGAACAAATCTCTAAAAGAAGCTCACCAAGCCACCGCTTCTATGGGTAAATTTTCGGCGAAAATTAACCCTTTCCCATCAAATACCAAGAATAAGTTAGCCAATAATGCAAAAGACAACGTAAACAAAATGCTGAAATCGATTAAGCCGAAGTCGGTAGCGATAGATACGAAACGCGAAAAAGAATGCCAACTAGATATCTTGCAAATGATGGCTAGGAAAGAACCCAAACTCAATAATTTGGACAAGTTGGCCAATTCTACTATCCAAAAACTGGATATGATCGACAAAGCTGCTAGGGCCGACAAGGATAAAAGCAAAAGTCAGATCAGGGCAAGCAACAAGGCTAAAAAGTATAAGATTGGCACCAATTCCAATGTGTTTGCCTTCAAGAAGAAAAGTGATTACAAGAAATTCCCTGTTAAAAAGGTCAAAGATGGCAAGAAACGTAAAAAAACGGACTGAAAAATTTTAATACACTTATATATTCTATCTTGATTTAATAAGAGTTGTTAATAAATACTATGTTTTGATAACAATAAATAAATTGTATGCATTGAATGTAAAAATTTCAAAAAATAAATGAAATGGTTTTCACGGATAATTACAAAAGAATTTTGTATACCTTGATGTAATTTTATTTTACAAAGAATTTGAAAACATATTCAACTGGTAAAAGACGTCACGTCACACTTTGTATATAATTTTTTCTATCTTCATTTTGACTAATTTCTATTGAGTGGGTCTAATGCATAATGGTTTGTCAGCTATTTACAAAAAAAAATTGTTATAAGTAGTCATAATAATCATTAAATTTAGGTATTAATTACCAATCTTGTATCTTCCAATAAAGCCCTTTATAAATGAGTCGGTATCGTTTAATTTAGCATTGATACTAATTCGATACATTATAAGCATTTCGGAACCGTGAGATCGAAATAATTGGTCACTAGGAAGTTTATATCCACAGACTCTAAAAAAAGTATGAGGTAAAATTATTAGTTATATCGATTTTTACGTAGTCGTACCATTTAGATGATATAGAGATTTTTGTTAGAGGAATATTTTTAGCCCATTTTTAAAGAACAGATTTTAGATCAAATTTTATCTTAAAATACCTACGTGGCACTTTCAAGATTTAAAGATTTCTGTTTAAAAAATTTTTTTTGAAGATTCTTTCTGATCCCTAATAAAAGAAGTTTACCGGTGATCATTTTTTTCAAAAAAGATCTAAAACCGTGAATTCTTAAGGACGCAAATTTTTTTAAAACAGATTGTGGATGGAAAGAAAGATTAAGCGTTTAAGAGAAAAATGAATATTTACCCTGCATTCACAGTTACCGCCAATTCAGGGCGAAATATACAAAATTTGCTATAAAAATAACAAATTTTACTAATCTTTGTATACAATCGCCGTGAATTAGCATTCATATACTTGTTTCGAATGTCTAATATTTTTTACTTTTAAATAATAACTGTTATTAGAACATTCTTTTAAATACTTATTTCTTACTTTATTTTTAAAAAAATAATTTAGTTGTGGGAATTAACTTTATTTTAATGCATTACAAAAAAATAAATTACTACATAAATTCAAAGGCATTAATAAATGGATTTAAGTTACAAATTGAAAGAAAGAAGAAAAAAAATGTTTTGTGGTTAAATGAAGAACTCGAAGAAATATAATTTTCTCCAAATTAATTCAAAATGTTTAAAAAAATAGATATATTTAAAATTATATAAACTAAAATATTTTTAAAAAAAACGGTGAAGGGGGGTGGATTAAAAATTTATTTTGTCAGACATAGTAGCCGAGGATGAAGATAAAATTAGATCTAGATATCTCAAAAGGTATTCTTTGTCTTCGTTAACTTTTTACCTAAAGTTTTTAAAAAAGTGAATTGCATCTTCGCCCAATTTCAATAAACTTGTAATAAGTGTGGTAAATATTATTTTTAAAACGATACTTTTACAAGATAAAATGCCACATTTAAATAGCCTTGAATATAATTATATATTTTTAAAAGTAACTTAAAAAATCACAGAACCTTTCTCCTATTAAAGATAAATCTTCCGCCCCTCTTATTTCGATCCAGTTTAGACATCTGATGTTATCCTTCGCGTAGCCCCCAATTTTAAGTTCTAATAATTCGAATAATATGGTTTGACAAGGGCGCGCCTTTATTGATTTATTATGTTTTTGTTTTGTTGAAATGAATAGTCTCAAAAATTACGATAAAACGAATTGCACGAAATTTGATCAATTATTAAATAATAATTGCTTTTTTTGGGGGTAGAGTACTATTTATTTTATAATAAATATCCCAATGTTTTTTTTATATAGAACCTCTTCATGTACACTTGAAAATTTTAATCTAATTCTGGTTCCTATTAAAGGGATTCCGCCTTTGTTTGACCCCGTTCAAAGGAACTTACTTCCGGTTTCATAATTGTTTAGAACTATTTCGGTGGGTTTAAAATTTTAATCGAATCCTAGTTCCTATGAAACCGAAAGCAGAGCCCTATGAACCGGGATAAAACAAAATAAGATTTAAAGGAATAATCTCTAATATTATTTTATTGAGTATTACATTTTAAAGGCTCGCTGTCTCCCCTTATATAAAGATCTTTTTTAAGAATCGATAAAATATACTTGTATCAGCCAGTTGCACGCTTTTGGCAGAGTGATGTTGCCAGTGTCCCAAACTTTTATTAGTCCGTACCTTTTGTTAAGAACTTCCTTGCTGCATTCTATATAGTGTATAGATATTAGAAATGATAACCATTCTAAATACATATATTTATATATATCCTGATTTGTCAAATAGGCAGTCAATCAAACGTTTTCATTGTTTATTTAATTTTTAGTTTTTTTTAAATTTACTCTGTAACCTTTTTCGAAATGTTGCGCATACAAGTACGTACGGCTTGCCCACAAACGTGTAGAGGGCTCCTCATATTTTTTTTAAACTTTCTCCCAAATTAACTTATGTTCCAATTAGATGGAAATGAGAAATACCTAGCGTAGCTCTGTTGTTTATTCAACGCCAGAGGGCTTATGCGCTATATATCACGGATATCACTAATCAATATTTTATCCCGTACCTATTTAATTATTATTCAACCGCATTCATAGCTCTATATAGTGATGTCAAATCGTTTCATTTAAGTCGATTTTCAAAAACGACTAACTCCGTATTATATATAGAAAAGTATTATGCAAGCCTGAAGATTTTGCTCATAGATGGCACAAAGGTTTGTAAATCTATTAGCAAAATCTCCAGGCTAAGGCTATATATTTCTGGCTAAAAATATTGAAGTACGTTTTTAAAAATCGGCTCAATTGGAGCGATTTTGCATCATTAGCCTTATACCAGTTTCGGATAAGAAATAACTATTTTAATTTACCCTCACCCTTTCCCCTACTCATTTTACATAAACTAACTGACCTAGTTAATTTATGGTCATGTGTCTTCATGAGAGAATATAATTTGGATCCAGTCCAAATCAACCCCTCCCTCTAATTTTTTTATAACTCCCCCTACTTGTCTGAAATAAGGAAACAAAATGCCCCCCCCCCTCCCACCCCACTCCGTTTATGTTTGCTTAACAGGCACAGTATTTATCTTCAAAAGAAAGAAAGAAAGGAAGGAAGGAAGGAAGGAAGGAAGGAAGGAAGGAAGGAAGGAAGGAAGGAAGGAAGGAAGGAAGGAAGGAAGGAAGGAAGGAAGGAAGGAAGGAAGGAAGGAAGGAAGGAAGGAAGGAAGGAAGGAAGGAAGGAAGGAAGGAAGGAAGGAAGGAAGGAAGGAAGGAAGGAAGGAAGGAAGGAAGGAAGGAAGAAGAAAGAAAGAAAGGAAGGAAGGAAGGAAGGAAGGAAGGAAGGAAGGAAGGAAGGAAGGAAGGAAGGAAGGAAGGAAGGAAGGAAGGAAGGAAGGAAGGAAGGAAGGAAGGAAGGAAGGAAGGAAGGAAGGAAGGAAGGAAGGAAGGAAGGAAGGAAGGAAGGAAGGAAGGAAGGAAGGAAGGAAGGAAGGAAGGAAGGAAGGAAGGAAGGAAGGAAGGAAGGAAGGAAGGAAGGAAGGAAGGAAGGAAGGAAGGAAGGAAGGAAGGAAGGAAGGAAGGAAGGAAGGAAGGAAGGAAGGAAGGAAGGAAGGAAGGAAGGAAGAAAGAAAGAAAGAAAGAAAGAAAGAAAGAAAGAAAGAAAGAAAGAAAGAAAGAAAGAAAGAAAGAAAGAAAGAAAGAAAAGAAATAAAGAAGCTGTAACTTTTCAATATATAATTATAAATAGCTATGAGTTTGAAAAGGAGTTTTAAAAAAAAGAAGATTTGACTTAACCTTATCTTATCCGCTGATGTAAAAATTACAAATTAGGTTAGGCTATCCCATAATAATATATTTCCTTATACTTACCGATCTAAGAAAAAAGTCTCCGAATGTATTTAAACCTAAACAAAAAAGGAACATTAAAATTATTAATTAACCGTCATCTTCTTTGATAATCTTTTCGCAATACAAACCACCAAAACCATCGGGACATTTACACCGGGTGCAATTATTCGGATCTGGGTAGCCTTGCCGGTAACATTTACTAGCTCTGTAAACAAATCCACAAGTTTCTTTTTTGTCATCATGTTACGAATTATTTAGTTTATATAATTTTATAAAAATTCAAATTATCGAAATTTAAGAAGCTTAAAAGTATATCCTATCTTCTTTGAGGATGTGAAATTTTTTTTTTATCTTTATCGCCCAAAATCTTTCTAGAAAAATTGCTTGCAAGGATAAAAAATATTTTTTTTACAGAATGATCTTTCGGAATTTTGCGGTAGACAAAATAGGATTATATTTCGATTTCATTTTTGACTCACACTTTTAATTCTATGATGTAATTTTTTTTTCACGATAATTTCCTGGGACCCGGAAATAGAAAAATATTTACGTTCCTATTCCGATATCTAGTTTCCGGTCCAAAAATATGTTATATTCCAGATTTAGGACATTTTATTTTAATGTTTTATTTAATCAACAAATTTTATTCATATTTTTAATTATACATTTCCATAAATTTCACAAAATAAGATTAACGTATAAAAGATTTTTTTTAAAGAGATTTGGAATTTTAGGTAAAATATAGTATTTTAAACTGTGTATACCCGAACAATACTCGTTGTTGATTGTTTTGGCATCAGAAAATGTTATGTATTCTCTGTTTCCCATAGCTGGTTGATGTCGAGGGTTGATAGTTTTTAACGTTGGCAATCCATTGCTTGATAAGGTCTTTAAAAGTAAATGAGGATTATATACAATTGTTTTCTTGATTTGGGTGTCAATAAGATACTTTTAACAACAATAGGAAAATATGGACTTAATTTTGGCTATTTTTTTAAAAATATATATAATAATTTAAAGTATTATGCAAATTAAATTATAATACCAATGGATCATAGTGCATTAAAGATGAAAGATCGTAAGGGACAGGGTTAGGTTTGGTATTAATTTTAGGAGATTTGGCGAAATCCTTGGAATAACCTTGCTCTACGTTTTCGTATAACACTTCCACGTAAAAATCTCTGTCCGGTCGCGATTGTTCGTGCCACAATCCCAAAGCGTGGCCTAACTCATGAGCGATTTCTCCGGCCTATTAACGAGACGCAATAAATATAATAAAAATGGGAAATATATTATCATTTTTTATAAAGTGCAATAAAAATTAGATATTTTTGACGGCTTTTTAGAATTCTAAGTTAAATTTTACGTGCTCGATATCAATTTTAAAGGTGAGCGGTTCCTTGTCTATCTTCTGTCCTCCTTTCTTTCTTTTTTTCTTTCTTTCTTTCTTTCTTTCTTTCTTTCTTTCTTTCTTTCTTTCTTTCTTTCTTTCTTTCTTTCTTTCTTTCTTTCTTTCTTTCTTTCTTTCTTTCTTTCTTTCTTTCTTTCTTTCTTTCTTTCTTTCTTTCTTTCTTTCTTTCTTTCTTTCTTTCTTTCTTTCTTTCTTTCTTTCTTTCTTTCTTTCTTTCTTTCTTTCTTTCTTTCTTTCTTTCTTTCTTTCTTTCTTTCTTTCATTCTTTCTTTCTTTCTTTCTTTCTTTCTTTCTTTCTTTCTTTCTTTTTCTTTCTTCCGAGTCATATTGTATTTAATATAAACAGACCTGTGTGCCAATTTTTAAAAAAAAACTCGCCGACTCGTGTTAATTTTCACGCCTCCATTTACATTTAGCGGCGGCGCAAAATTTTTATTTTTTGGAAAAATTAATTCATTCATTTATTTATTTTTATTTTTGCATGAACAACTAAAAATTAATAAATATTTGAAATAACTTTTACCAAAATTTATCATATATAATTATTACAGAAATGAGGGCCCGATCGCCTGTGTACACTGGTAGGACAGTTATATATTTTTTTAATAAACCCAGGTCTGGCCCTAAAAATTTTTTTTCCTATATCATTTGTAAACCATTTTATCATAAAAAAAATTATGCACCCAGGCATGACCGAAAATTAAGAAATCCTAGTCGGAGTGGGCTAAAAATTTAATCTGGCCTAACCCAAAAATATTTTTTTACAAATCCGGTCCGGGCCGTGCAATTGGTACTTCAGAAAATTTTTGAATATATTAATAAATAGATTATAAAAAAATTTTTGTTCAAATTTTAAGGGTATAGTTTAAATATTCTTGAATTTAAAGTACCAATACCAACAACAGAAATACATGTCTCACTGGGAATCTTTTTAGCAGGAACACGTAATATTTTAATATTCTATTTTCCTATTAGTCTAATACATCCTCTACCACAAAATAGAGAGGAAAAATGATTAGTAATATTCTGATACTAACTCTTTCAGAATTTCGTTTTCTACCTTTTTATATGTAATTTGCTTTAGAAGAGACATCTCTCCTGTATTCTTAAGCTCTATCACATGATTACATGAAGGTTAAACGGGAGTTAAATTATTACTCTTTTTAAGATTTCACGATATTTAGCTTTTGAAATCTAGGATCTTTCTAACATTTCAGCTGTAATCTTATAAAAGTAGAAAAATAAATTAAAGAAATATGGAATACCCAAAGATCAGTTATATTGGAAATCTATGATTCAATGAATTGCTCAGATTTTGTTTTAAAAGATATATAATGATAGTAATACTCCCTTTTTAAGTTCCATTCACCTTTTCTATCTATGCTATGTCAACTTGTAAGCATATTTAGTTTGAGATCACTGGTCAAATTTAAAATGTTTCTTCATCGTACGGATTTTCTTCATTCAGATACAATCTAAAGCAGTATCTTTTGCTTTTGTACAATTTTCATTTTTGAGAATCAAATATACTTTTAAACTTGGACTCTAAATAATATTGCAACAAGTGAATTTACTTCTCTTAAAATCTATTGTCTCTTCTACTTACTTTCTTTATTCCATCCATCGACAAGATTATGTAATCTATGCCCTTAAAATAAAATGGCGTTTCATTCCATCCTGCATCCGAGATCATTGAGATTTTCTTAGATCTTAAATTGATTGATTGGGATTTTTAAACCCACAAAGAAAAAATCTAAAATATATTTATATAAAATATTAAAAATTAAATATGTTTTAATTTATTTGTTTGTTGATAGTTATTTCAAATTTTTTACCGAAATATTTTTTATTAATTAAAAAATTGCGAAATAAATTCATGAATGAAATTATTAATAAATTTAAAAAATGTAATAATTAAAAAAAATAAAAATTTTTCTAGGCCACTCCGCCTTCGATAAAAAAAAATCCGGTGGTGGCGCGTCAATCGTTTACAATTTTTAAATTGGCATCATAAGACTTCTAAAATTTAGCATCGGCGGCATAGCCAGACGTGCGTAGGTCTAATCATAATGTTTTTAAATATATTTATTAAATCGGTGAAATGAAATTTCTAAAGATTAAAATCTTCTAAAGATGGAGAAGTTATAACCTTGTGATATGCAATAAATTCTAACCTATTAAGCAATTAATCGGCCTATTACTTTTTGGTTATCGTAATAACGCTGGAAGGGGAAGAGTGTATATGATTTTGAAATTATAATTAAACATTTACTTACCATTCCAATTTTGATTTATTTTAAAGTTAGCCAGCACCATTTTAATAAAGATTATTGTTTGTAAAAACATACATACATGAAAAATGAATACATATATAAATTATAAACTTCGGGACATTTTGAGGAAACGGATATTAATTGTTCTCCACCCGTTTTTCCAATGTAAGACCAACATCTAAAATTATAAGAATTAAAATTGCATATATAGAAAGCATAAATGTTTTAAATTTTGAAGATTTTTCCATAACTAGTAGAACACCTGATCGCTTCCTCAATACCTTTGTATATATTAGATATGAAATTTGACATACATATACTAAATATTTATATACCCTGCTCCACTATAAAAATTTAGATAATCCTCGGAGCCCTGTTCAACTTTAGTAAACCTAATACACGTTTCATTTTCCCACATCTTGATAGCCTTTTCTATAGAGTCAGTTACCGTTTCATCTGCAAAATAAAATTTAAAATAACTCATCTTTATATGAACAGAATCTCTAAAAAAGTGCATTCATTAAACTAACCCATCGATGATGTGTATTATATATTTTACCGTCCAATTCTGAAATTTGATATTTTATGGGCAAGTTATTTTTCCACGTTGGATAGACTCGGGAGATCGTTTTTGTTATCACATTATTCTGAATCGCATGAAAGGCTGTTAACTGAGTCAAAACAATATCATTTTGAAATAACCCATTCCATGGTTTACGCGTTTTTATCTAATAAAATGAATAAATCTCATAGTAGTGTTTGTTATCAATGTAAATCCCAAATTTTAATTCCATCCTGCCACTTTTATTTTCAGAACTGCACGTGGTTAAGGTCTTCTAGACCTGAGACGGGATGCATCCCAAATACGCTTTACATAGGCTTTTAAAGAAGAAATATAGGGAAGGGGGGCAATTGTATTTATTTTATACAAGAGATAGAGGGGATGGGGGTAGGGAGTAAGTACCTTTTAATAGCAAATTTTTGACCCTTGACTACGATTTTATTTGAAACATTTACGCAATTTAAATAGATATCATTTTAATATTTTAATATTTACTATCTTCATATTATTATCGGCTGACGTTTTTTCTTCAAGTTTATTCATGATATAATTAACGGAATCATATTCATCTATGTCTCTCCCGCGTAATTTAATCTTATATGCCAAGCTTAAATTTTTGTCATTATTCGTATTTGTATCGTGAGATGACTCAAGGTCTGACGCCATTTTATTTTTGATTCCCAGCCAAGAACTGATAGGGATCTGATAATTCGGAGCTGATTTGACTCGCTTCAATGACCAGTCGTAATAAGGATAATAAGGAACCCGATTATAGTATTGAAATATGACGCCCGTTGAATCAAGCCCTTTTCGTTCGTGTAATATATACTAATTATTATTATTTTTTTTTAAATATTAAAATAGATGTTTATAAAAAACATAGGATAAAATAGGTAAAATAAAATGGATGGATATATGACTCTTATCGTGATGAGCCTATGAGATGGATAGGGCTGAAATAATATACAAGTCACCATTAAATAAATTATAGTTATAGGCATGTGTTGTTTGATCCTACCCATTTATACCAAACCCTAAATATATAAATTAAACTGTGCTTTAAAAAAATAAAAAATCTTATTGAGTTTTTAAAAGTTAAACTCGAGACTTTCCTCTAAAAGTTAATGCCTAAAGATCTAAATCTCGTCACGTTTACAATCGGCGAATAGCTTCATATACTGAAAACATTATTTGTAATTGGTTTAAATAAAACAAATTAACATTCAGGGCAAATACCAAAATGTCGGCTGGCTAGTGTGGATAGAAGGTGTGATGTTGGCTAAGATCCTACTCCAGTCTTAGATTCGTCCCATCAAAAAACATATTATATGGGTTAGGTTAGTATTGTTTTTTTTTAAAAAAAAAATTACGGGCATATATCAGGGGGTCTTAAATTATATTTTTGAGTGGCCGGCTAGGTCGGTCTGTACTCATAGTTGGGTAATTACTAATTTTTTACCCGTACCCCGAAACAATTACTTTGGCCTTCTGGGTTTTTGTCAAAATTATATCAGCTCAAATTTGATAAAAAAAACAACTAATATTAATTAAAACGCCTTTAATGTTAGAAAATTTTCTCCGGCGCGCGTCTACAGATTGAGCCGTATCAATCTACATTTAGCCATTACCCAATTGTAGTCTGTACCAATGAATTCTCAAATATGTAATAATGATTAGTTTTTTTTAAAATATATTTTAGATTGCGTCCAAAATCTGTTTTTAAAATTTAAAGTTTCAAAACTTTCAGAAATTTTATTTTTGAAGAAATCGAGGGTTATATTTTTTTTTGGAAATATATTTTGGACATGGTTTTATTTTAATATTATTTATTTTCATATTAAATTTTGGACACCGATTTCAGATAAAAGAAATATATTAACATTTTATTTTTATTTTTGAATTTTTATATAAAAATTTTTTTTCATAGTTTCACCTGCATGACACATAAATTAGCAACTACAAGAATCAAGACAATTTAAAAAAAAAAAATTAATTAATTTTTTACAAGATAAATGAAGGTTATAATATTTTTATATAATTCTTTTAATTTAACATTTTATTTTTAATATATAAATGTGATTTTTTATAAATTATAGATCAAAGTCAAGGAAATTAGTTCAAAGATATTAATTTAATTTATTTTTCTTTTTAAACGTAAAAAAAATTAAGAAGTGAAATTTATATTTTAAAAAAAATTTTAATTTTTTTTTTGAAAAGGAAGTCTAAAATATATTTTGACACAAACAAAAGCTCTGCAACACTTGTTATAGTGATAGCGGCGTATTTGGCGGGGGGGGGGTGGTGGTGTTGCAACTACGCATGATAGGGCAAATTTTAGCGGATAAAAATATTTAAATATTGATAGGACGGTTAAAAATATTTATAAAACAGCTGGCGAGCGGGTGAGTAAAGGTTGCAATATTTTTTGGACAAATTGATTTTTTTTAAATATGATTAATGAAAGAATAGTTTATAAAAATATTATTTTAATCCTTCCTAAAATATAAGTTTTATTATATTTTTTTTTTCAACTTATGTGAATTATTTGAAATGAAAAATAAATAAATAAACTTTAAAAAAAATATACATATATTTAAAAAGAAATTTATGGAAATATTGAAAGTTTAAAAAATAGGCTAACCCAACAAATATGACAATCTTCAAACATTGGTCCGGCGTAGGCGGACTAACCAAATTTTCTTAAATTTTAATTGCGTGCAATTGAATATATAATTGCATATTCATAGAGAATATCAAATATCGGCCTACATTACTGCAAACCTTAACTGACCAAATTTTAACGCCCGTAAAAATGTTGAAATAGGTCATTTATACGGTTTTGCCGTGAATATTTATCCACATTGTGACATTAAATCTTGAATAGTATATATAGATATATTAGTTTAAGGTAACGTAAGGAGGTTCAAAAACAGACTCCATGGAAAATTTACCAACAAAACCTTACTGTGACTGAGTATAAAACATTTTCTAAAGGATGAGAATGTAAAATTTCAGGAAATAAAATAGAAATTTTAATATTTATCTATCAATATTACTCTCTTAGTTAAACAAAACACTAAAATTTAGTCTTTTAATATTTTAAAAAATACAATTTTTTTTTCAAAAAAACTTAGCTTTCCCCTATATAAAATTTTAATGACGCCATAAATATATACCCAAGGAATACCTGGCTAATTATAAGGAAAATAATATTATACGGGACTTATAAATCCTGATATTCCTAATAAGAGCAACAACTGATTAAATATTCTAGACCACTACATAGTGTTGTTAAACGGCTCGTTTTGAGCCGATTTTTAAAAACACAAGATTTCGCTAATAGATGTCCAAACCTTTGTTCCTTCCACAAATATAATATTCAGGCTTGCGTAATATTATTCTCATAACTTAACAACACTACCACTACATAAAACTTATTTTTACAGGTTTGGCCTGATCTGAGATAAAAAAAAAATAAATATCCGTTCCATCGATAAGATCATTTAATTTCAAATCATATCCGGGGGAAAAATTAATTAATAACAAATATTGATGATCGTAAAATCATTTTAACATAAATTAGTCCATTTTTCTGATTGGCCCATCTAATAGCTGTGTAAATTAAGATTATCTTAAAATATTGTTTAATAAAAAAATTACTTGAAATTTATCTGATACATTTTAAATAAATGAATAGAAAACAATAATTACCTGCATAAAAAAAAATATTAATTGTCGTCTATTTTGACCGAAATGGGACCAAAATCTTAAATCAAGGGAATCCCTCCACAAATATTGGATTGGGATAAAATAGATTTAACAAAGAAAAAGAGGGAAATATTGTAAGCGGTTGGAGGAAATTTATTTTTTTTCAAAATGGATGTTTTTCTTGAAAAATATATAACGAATAAATAATTTTAAATCAAAGTCGTCTGTTCATGGTCATGATCAAGAGTATAGTATTTTTTGAAACAATAATTTAGAATATTCTCGTTTATGACCAAAGTAATTTATTTCGATAATTATCCCCAAATCCTATAAAAACACTAAGGCCATATACCTACTGGTCTTTTATTTTCTTTTTCAAAATTTTAACTGTTATGATTAATAATTATTATATATAAAAAAATTGTCCACGGATTTCTTTCCAGAATAGAATACAGGGCTTACCAATTTTTTAAAAAAAAATAAATAATATTCAAAATTATTAATTAGTATTGTATTGGGCAGTCTATATTTAAGAAACAGCGAAAAATTAAAAATTATTGTTTTTACTATCTTACCTCCTCTACATAAATTTAAAAATATAAGTTTTAAATCGAATACCGGTAGAAATAATCGAATATTTAATTCCCATACAAGTAAGGTATATAGGTTTATATTCTTCATATAATAATAATTAATATTTTTGTAAAGTTAATTTAAATAAAATCAATTAAAAATAAAATATTTTATAAATAAATTATTTTATTAAATTTTTTTTTTAAACAATAACAATAAGTTAGATAAAAATAAAAATGCTATTCGTTTCTTATTATTAATTTTTTGAAAACTAAAATATCTATATCACTTTTTATTATATTCTTTATATTTTTAGTAGTTTAATTTTCTTTAAAATTTTTTCGCATTAAATAAGGCAAAAAAAGAAAAGAAAATGGGCTGAATCTTTTGATTGAGAGGAGGATATTCAATATTTAAAACCCATTTTTGAGGTGTATCTTTTTGAATGTAAAATTAATTTCCTCCGTATATAAGGGGTTTAATCATTTTGATTCTTGGAAGCAACAATTGGAATAAAATAGATATTTATTTTTTAATAAATTCTAGCCATTCATGGTGAGTGTTCATTGTATTTGAACTTCGCATAAATATAAAAGTATCTCAAATCGCATGTTAAGAGTAGGTCTTTTTATCAGAGTTAGGTGTTAATCTATCTGGTCTTTTGTCAGCAGTCATTAATTCAAGAAAACTGCATTGAAAATTTGAAACAGATAAATAGCATGATCTCCATCACCCTCCTTTGGGCAGAGTGTATTTTTGTGAGATGCTTCCTATAAGGGTAAAGCAACTCTGATTTGGGCAGCATTACATTAGAATAGATTAAGTTAAGAAGCGTGCACTCAAAAGAAGATTCCATTTTTATGGCGAAGTATGAGAGGAAAAATATTGAGCATATAGTAGTCCTAGATTTAATAACCATGGTTTCGCTGGTCTTCCGAAGAGAGTGAATGCGAATTTTAATCTCTCTGAGTAAGACGAGATGGAAATTTTTCTTTTGTAAATCTAGTGGGACTAGGAAAAGAATAGAGTCAATTCCCGATTAAGTGAATATTATTTTTACTTTGATAACAAGAATTATTTGTCTCCAAAATACCAGAGAACAATAAAATTTTAGATAATTAAAATGTTTAATAAAGCCTGTAAAACATATAATGGCAATTACAACACTACATTCTCATCATGCTGTAAAAAGTTTATTAAATTAATGATATTAAGTGGATACTAGTTCCGTAAGTGATGTATTTTTAGATAAAAGATAAAAATAACTAGTTAAATAGATAAGTAAGTAAATAGTCTTTAAAATAAATTAAATATAATTATTATAAAATTAAAATCTTAATTAAAAATTTGATTAAACATTTATTTTGTTTAACTTACCTATTTTGATAACCAATTGAAATTGGCATTACTATGTCTAATTTCTTTACAATTTCTGAGTTTAACTACAGAGTATTTTATTTTAAATGATATTATTTTCTATAAAGTTTATATTTATTTGCCTACATCCTAGAACAATCAATAATTGTGCAAGTGTGCTTAATTGCTTAGTTAATACATATTGCCTAAGAAATAAGTGTAATAAGCAGCGACTACAACAGGATTTACACTGAATGCAAATCCCCTTTAAATACCTAAGCCTACTCAAAAAATTTTTGTTTTCCATTATCAAGTACACCTTTTTAATTATACTAGTACACATTTCAATTATTTTAAAAAGAATAATTTAAATTATTTTAGCTCTACTACCAACTATCAAAAAATTGTAAATATAAAAAAATTATTTTTTAGATCATGAATTTAATTAAAAACTTCTTCATTTACAATAAATGCATTATTATACAATATTGTTTGGCATGAATATGAGTTTGATGAGAATGTCTAAAGCTTATAAATTACATTTAAAAGGATTGCAGAAAGTTTAATTTGGAAAATAATGTCTATGATTGTTTGCAATATATAGATTTGGTCGATGATCAGCAATATTATTGTATTATAATAGGTCTATAATAAAGGTAGTCATTTTTACAGCAATATAATTTGTCCTATTTCATGTAAAAATTTAACAGATAACCCCCAATTATTTTTATTATCCTCCTTAAAGGCATATACCCCCTATTCCTCTCAAAATAAATTGGATGCAAACTGTTCCTTCCCTCCCACTCCTCCGCTCATATAGAGGCTAGTAATATGTCATAAAATAATGTCGGTTATTTGTAGAGTAGGTATTCATATTTCAAGTAAAAATAAATTTCCCAAATTTAAAGAACGTAAATTATTTAAAGTTTGAAAATAGAAGAATCATTTGTTGAACGAGTTTTTTAATTCCAGTATGTGGCTTTAATACCTATCCTATAAATAAAATAATTTATCCAAATACCATATTTTTTATTAGATTTATCATAATATTTTATGCCAACTCACTTAAAGAGCAAAGATACACATTAATATTTTTACACAAAAATATCAAAGGTGGTTTTCGGGTTTGGACTCCTGCCAGAGCAAAATTTTTTTTTTAGATTATACGTTCAAAAGACTTAAGAGTGACTTTATATCAAATATATACCATTAATATTAATATTTTTCTGGTTTTGATGTTTGTGGAAGGATATTATATTACTATTTAAATTATTCTGGATAGTATTATTATAAAGTCATCGAGAATAACCTACTAACAGGGTTGGGCAAATTTTCAGAAAATTGTATTCGGATACAGATACTTTATAAAATTTTGTATTTAAGATACAAGATACTAGATACTTTAGAAAAATTTCAATAAGATATAAGATACAAGATACTTGTATTTTTTTTATAAAAAAATATCTAAGATACACGATACTTTTTTAAAAAACTTTAAATAGTCAAAATCAAATGTATAAAGCTTAATTTCTTATCTATAATATAAATTTATAAAAAAATATTTAAAATAAATTGTTGAAAATAACAAATTTATTATAAAAGATAATGCGATATTCCATTTAATAATTATATAATTAGTAAATAATAATAAATCAGCTTCATAAATCAGCATTATTTTTTAATATTATTAATTTTTCAAATGATTTATCGTTCAATCTTTGACGATTTGATCTATTAACCATATTAGCAAAGCTAAATAATCTTTCAAAGGGGCTGAGGAGGGTAATATTGTGTTATATTTAATAAATATTTCTTTTATATATTTATAACTATTTAACATATTTATACTCCGCATGTCATCTTTCATATAAGTTAGTACCTCTATTTCAATATCATTTATTGAATTATTAGAATTGGATGTGGTACTTTTAAGGCAAAAGTAATCATCATCTTCATCAATTGAAGATTTTGTTGAAGTATTAATTTCAATATTATTTTTAAAAACAATTAAAACTTCATGTAATAACAAATCAAGGTATTTTTTTTCTTTTTCACCATCAATCCAACGATTTTTAAAATAGAGATGAGAAATAGTTGCCAAAAATGCACTTTTAACATTGTTATCAATATCATATATATTTTTAAATCTTTTATTTAAATAATTTTCTATGGCAACAGCTAATGGTTTGCAAAATTGTAGATTGGTTTGAATTAAATTTGTAATTTTATTTTAACGACATTTAAAATTGGAGCTGATTTTCCATAATAGCAGTTGATTTCACTCTGTATTTTGTCAATCGCTATAGCCAATGGGGCCATTATATTGCAATATTCTTCTAAATATTGAATTTCAATATCTCTTAATTTAAGAAATTCTAATTTTTGACATAATTTAGGAAGTTCGCCTTTAAATTTTAATAAACTATGAAGACTATCATACAAACTATTCCATCTAGTGCAACAAGGTGTAACTAATTGTTTTCCTAAAACTGCTTTGATAAGTTCTGCAGTTTTAGGCCTATTATTTGCATTCCATAGTTTAGTACATTTAGCTATTGCAGGATGATGAATTTTAGAAATGTTAGGAGAATCCTTAATAGCTCTCTCGACATCTGTTGTGGCAATTTTACCGTATGGCACAAACAACGAATTTGTTGAGGCAATGTTATTGAGGCTTCTTTAGACCCTTAAATAAACAAATAAATAATTTTATTTGAATAAAAATTTTTACAAAATTTACAATATCATAATAACTTTTAAAGAAGTATTAAATAATACTTTCAATGATTTCGAATTCTATACATTCATCATCATTGATGTCAAAGTCATTCTCTACAGCTTCCATAGAATATCAAAACTCCTTGAAAGCTTTCTTAAAATTAGAGCCGTTATCTGTAACAGTTGCTATAACTTTTTCGTCAATAGCAAAGTCACGATGAATTTCTTTATTATGATCATCTTGAAGTACTTCAAAAAATTTGCCATTAAGTATGCTTAGTTTAAATTTATTGTTATAATTTTCGGTTGAAGAATCATCTGAAGACGAAGATAAACATATTATTCTATTTTCTTCTTCCATAATTTTAAAATAGACAGATATAAAACGATTCAAATATGGTAGTTTTAATTGTTAGCAAATTGCTATATGACGACCAACGTCATATATCAAAAATTATCTTAAAATATCTAAATTTTGATTAAATTTTTCATTTAAATCTTAAAACAATATCATTTTTAATTTTAATACTATTTAAATTAACCAATATAAATTTTTTTTAAAGTATCTGTATCTTTTTGAATACAAACTTGGTTAAGATACAAATACTTTTAAATAATATGTATCTTAGATACTGGATACAAGATACTTTCCAAAATTTTAAAAAAAGATATGTATCTTGTATCTTAGATACAAATATCCGCGATACTGCCCAACCCTGCTTACTAAATTATAATAACATATTATTGATGCATTTAAAATATATATTTATTATAAATTATCGATGATATAGTTATGATTTGTAAGATAAACCCGGCCGAAGGCAGGCAAAAGGGCCGAAAGCCCGTTAAAGGGGTTGGGGGGCGAAGCCCCACAGGCTCTTATATGTATGGACCCACTCTAAGGAAAATTCTTAGCTACGCCACTGTCTTGAGGGAATAACAAACTTTACTTCTTTCAGTTAAAAAAAAACAATTATATTCAATTACAATCCTTTTGGAAAATATAATCTACTAATATTTTAGGGCTAATTTTTATGATATCTATCATATTCTAAACCCTTCTTAAAAGAAAGGTAATTTTATAATTTACTTTATTAAATACTGAGCATAAAATAATATATGTTATCTATATCTAGAAAATGATTTGTCAAAATATAAATAGATAAAAATTTTTATTAATTTCCATTGTTCTTTCATTATTGTTGGTAGCATTGTTTTATTTTGTATTTTGTTTCTTGTCATTTTTATAATTTATAATTTATTTTTGAATGTTTGAAAATTTTTTTTAAAAAATATTTAGGATAGTTTATATTTCCTCCTTTTTTTATGTTTTTGAACTACTTATTTATTCTTCATCCCTAGTACAAGCAAAAAATATAATTGGTCAGCGATTCTTTTAAGTTCAAAATTATTTTATTCATATATCTACAATGGAAAGAAATTTCATATTATGGAGCTTGTAGTTAGTGTTGTTAAGCCAGTTTTGGGTCGATTTTTTAAAACGGCTCGATTAAGATCTAACTAATTATTTAAGCATCGAGATTTAGCAAATAGATGTCCAAGTATTTCTGGCAGTTATATGAAAAACCTATAAGCTTTTATAATTTTATTATGGTCATAAACTTAACGGGCCATTTTTTAAGATCAACCCGAATCGGGATTTTTAACAAACCAAGTTACAATCTGCTAATATGGGCATCTGGATACATAATATTCCATATTTTAGATCTTTTACCAATTCATTAATAGTTATGGTAATTGATATACTTATTATCTTTTATAAGAACTTCTTAGAAAAGCGTATAACGCCATCTATATTTAATATGATTTTCTACGGAAAGAGTCTTAGGCTAATGTCTAATGATTGATTTAGAAAAAGTTAATCTTAGAAATAAGGAAAGAAATGAGAATTTTGAAGTTTTATTGTGCTATTTTATCTTTTATTATAAAAATATATAGAATTATAATGAGTCTCCTGAAATAAAATATCTTTATCGAGATTCAGATAATTATATTCAGGAGATATCTGGTACTATACAAAATTAAATTCTAAATATCATATTTAATCTATAGAATTATATACATATAGTGAAGAAAGTGAATATAAAAAGAATAAAGAATATTTTTATGAATACTTTGGAAACAAAAAATGGCTTACATCAAAATTGCTTGAAAAAGATCAATTTTTACACTTTATTTTAGATAAACTTGAACAAAAGGATGACCAAAATGAAATTAAAATATTAAGATCATTACTATATTTATGTCAAGGTTTGTAAGATTTTATAATTAATATATTACTTTACATTAGGAAATTTTGATGAGTGCAGAACTTCTAATGATTTAGTTGCCTCACTAAAGTACAATAGTGTTTTACTATATAAAAGAGGGCTATTTTGCTCATTGATTAAAATTCTCTTCTATGAAATCCAAAAAGAGTACAGATAATTTTTTTTTGTGTTTAGTACTTATTATTTAGTCCCAAATACTTTGACAATGATTGTCACTTGGAAACAAACCAGTATCTTAGAATTGTGCTATCAATTCTTTATTCTATTTTGGAAACCTTGAGAAGCATAGATAATAATGATACAGAATATATTGACCAACGCAAAAATTTTTTAGAAAATATTATAAGTTCTAATCTACACATTATCAAATAATATAAACATGCTATAGATAACCATATTTCTGATAATGAAAACTCATTAGTGGTCTGCTTATTTACTTTGCTCAACAAGTTTTGCAGTATTTCATCACCTCATATCCCAGTCCGTAAAGTTTTGTTATTACTCTGGAAAATAATATTAGTAATTTAATTTATTTAAATTATTATATTAAATTTTTTGATATTGTTCTTTATATCAACCCAGGGTTTATCATGATTTTTCAAAATTGTCACATATTGCATTATATTTTTTGATTTAAATAATGAGTATCATTTTGATATGATCACTAAGGTACTATAATAAAAACATTTCATTATTTAAGAGTTCTTTATATAAACCATGTGGTATCACTCTAACCATTAAGTTGATTATTAAGCAAAGCTATTATGTTAATTGATATTTTCTGGGAAGGCAGGTAAGGAAAAAGTAAAAAATTTATTTAATTTAATTTATCATTTTTTTATTACAATTACTACCACTGAAGATATTTAAATTTTACCTATATATATATTATTATTTTAATACTATTTACATATTAACATTTGCAAAAATTAGGATAATTTAAAAGGTCATTAAATAAATTTAAAAGAAAAGATTTTTACAAAAAGGTCATTAATTACAAAGTAAAAAATATGCAAATTATATATTAACATTAATATATCTTCTAAACTTTAATAATATTATTCTAATGGAATTGCTAAACTCAGATCATAGGCCTACAAATGAAAATTTTTTATTAGCCCAAGCTTGTCCGTGATCTATGGCAAAAATTATACTTGAGGCCAGCCCATTATTGACCAAGGTCTAATTTAAAAAGGAACATATATGGAAGAAATTTTGAATTCAAGTAAGTAATAAATTGAAATATTTAGCAATAACCTTGATGGTTTAGATGTTAATAACCTTGATGGTTTAGATGTTTATCTATTTTGTTACAAAATATGATATGAAGATGAAAATTAAATTGGTAGACTTACATATTATTTTTGTTCACCAGTTATTTATTTTATCGAGATTCAATAATTTTTGTTTTAAATTCATTTTAATATTCTTTCATATTATTTAAGAATGGAGATTATTATATTCAATATAGTTTTCTTATATTTTTAAAATAGATAGTTATTATCTTTAGACATAACCTAAAGTATTTTAAAAAAATTTTTATATTTAGGATAAATGTTTATTTTGACCCTACAATTACAAAATAAATATAGATCTTTTATATCATTTTTTTTTACTTATGTTGAATAAAATAGTAAAAATATAAATTTCTATTTAATTTTACAGGTCCAACTTGTTTAAGATGAATATTTTCTACCTAATTTTTTAAACTCATCTTATATTTACGATATTCAATCAGACAATAAAAGAAGAATGAATAGGAAGAAAATATAACTTTAATTATATTTTGGTCCACTGGGCTTATATGTTTTAGTGGTGACGTTACCACTGGTCTAGCCCGCCATTTAAATTTGATATATATATATAACATTGTGCTGTAAATTTCTAAAAAAATTTAACGTTCATTGACAAAAATCTAACGCGTTCAAGTTCACTTCCAAAAAAAAAGGAACGCGTTCAAGTTCACTTCCCAAAAAAAGGAACGCGTTCACGTTCGTTCAAAATTTTATAATAAATTTTTTTTAAATTTATTAATATAAATAAATGTCTTATATTTTTTAACACAATATATTAGCCATGTTAAAAAATAATATAGTTTTATTTTGATAATATAATTACAAATACAATATAATATAATATAATATAGCTAATAAAAGGATATTTTTTATTTATAAAAAATTTTTCTTATTCTTAATAATAACAATTGTTTTTTCAAATTTTTTTATCTGATAGACAGAAACCCTTGGCAATTAATACCGCATTAGCTATTCTAAAAACCCGCTCCACGGGAGTAGATGATGGGGATTGCTGTATTATACTTAATGAACAACTCTTTTAATGCGGGGAATTTATTAAAAACATTTATTGTTTCGTCCTTTGCTTCAAAAAATTGAGATGAGTTATTCTCCTCCAATCCAGCATCTACTTCCTCGTCAAAAGAAAGAATATTTCGAAATTAACAATAGGGTTTTTAAATGCATTTTTTTCAATAACGTTTTAAGTTTATTTTTTATAGATTCTTTATGTGGATGTTTTATTCATGACCATTGAAGCTTGAATACTGGATGTATAATTGCAGAAATAACATTTATCTTCATATATATGTTCAAATCTTTAATAAAATAAAATATATGTAATTAATTTGATAGTGTTAGGTTTAATACCTTAATTCCATTTAATACTGCATCTGTCAATGGTTTTTTAATTTAAAATAGCTATCTTTATTGTTGTAGTCAAATAGCCCAAATTTTTTCTTCAAATTCAATGATTTTACTTAGATTCTATAAAATGAATGATTAATATTACAATCAAATATCGTTTTAAATTGGAACTTGAAGATTTTGAAATGATATAATACATTTTGGGCACATTTTACATTTTTTAAGTATTGAATTAGTTCCTTTAATATGGGATGTTATTGTAAAATATTTATCATATATGGGCCATGGTAGTGTTAATCTGATTTTGAATTTTTCAGAAACAGATGATGATGATGCTGATGAAATAATAATATCCATGCTTATGCTAATCTATTAAATTAAAATATAAACAATAATAAAATTAATAAACTATAATAATGACGTGTTAAAAAAAATTGAAATGTGAAAATGAAAACAGCTGATTATAAAGTATAAGACACTTTTCTTAAAAAATTAGATCAGGATTAATCTTAAATTTTTCAAATAAATAAAAATAAAAAGTGTTTTTAAAATTGAACGAACGTTAAATTCGAACGCGTTCGTCATAAAAAAGGAACGCGTTCACGTTCAAAGTTCGTCAAAAATAAAAGGAACGCCTTCATCAATTTTTTAAAAAAAACCAACTTCGTTAATTGAACGCGTTCGTTTACAACACTAATACAACATTCTAATAGAAATAAAATATTTTTGATACGTTTTTTTATTCGAGCCATGGGCTGGTCTTGGGGTTTAAATTTTTTGCCACTAACTTACAGGAGGCTCTGGTCAAAAATTTCTATTTTGCTAGTCTCTCAATGTTGTCACTGGCCCAGCCCACTGGACCAATGGGCCTGGCTGATGGGTCAACACTACCGGACTCTAATCCAGACATTATATAAAACTTAGGGTTCTGTGTCTGTCTAACCTTATCTTCCAATTGCATTAAAAACATTCGCATCATCCAAAATTCGGAGATAGATTTATAAAAATATAAACTAATAAATAATATATATATATATGTATATGTATGTTTAAAGTTTGTAACAGATGGCACCACAAATTACACTTCCTTAAAACGCTCCAAGGCCATAAAATTAGGCATTTCCGAAAATTATCTCCCATTTTGCGGTGAATCACCCCAAAACGCCTCAAGTATATCCTGCCTCATAAGTGCTTTCCATTTCGACGGCCCTCCTTTCCCATTTTCGTTGTTAGCCTCTCGACGGCCCCCAACCTGCCGATTTGACAAGGTGCCTAGTAGAGGACCCCTCTCGAAAACGGCCAAGATTGATTCGGGTTAGTTCCACCCTGACATTTTCCCCTCTTTCTTTTTACCAAAACTAGAATGAGCTTTTAAGTTTATACTCTCCACAGACATATATTATATATAATATATTTTTGATTTATCCTCTAAATTGATTTTTCTCCGCCTTCTTCCAAGCAATCGAAAAGGATGATATTATGAATGAAATCAACGACCAGGCCGACGCGAGCATCGACCTAAACGCGTCACTAAGTATCGATTTTGACGAGCCGAGCTTTGGCTTGAATGACATCGACTCTGACGTTGTTAGAACTTTGACCCGTTCCAAAGTGGTGAACGTGAGCAAGGGAAAGGGATTCGCTTTCGAAGAGGAACTCGCAAATGATATCCCTAAATTGGGGAGAGAAGTTTAAATTTTTTTTAATGCATTTTTTTTTTTATAATTTATAGAAATCTTGTTAAAATTTACTTATCCGAGGTCTGATATGAATTATAACACTCATATTTTTTTTTAAAGACGGTATTCAATTTGAAAATAAATTAATTGTTCATTTTCTGATATATGTGTCTAGCGTCGCGTGACGCATGCGCCCACACATGATTACATTTTATAAATCTAATGAATTTAAAAAAAATATATATTTATGTTAGTTATAAATTAATGAACTCTCTAAAACTATATAGGTATAACTAGCGCAATTTTAACCTTAAATTTTTTTATATAAAATTCTAAGGGATGTTTACTGGAGGACAAGTATTAGGGGTTTCCCGTTACGACATAGGTGACTAAATTGTCGCGAATATATAAAATATGATTATAATAACAACATTAGCTTTAGAACCTTTTTTTGCCATTTTTCCTCAAGGTTATATAAGCGCTTCATCCCTTTTCATGAGCGTTATAGAAAAAATATAGGAAATTTCAACAGAATTTTTAATATGGTAATTCTCACTCATAATGAATAATATGAAATGTTGAGACCTATCAAATTTTTTTTCCTAAGCAATAATGTATTAAAGATATATCTAACAAAAATGGGCAATCACATCTAGTACATTTTTTGGTTATTCGTAAAGTAAATCAGCTTTAGACCAAACTCCTAGAGTGACACATGTGATAGTTGTGAAACAATGAAGAATTTTATTAATATTATCTTGTAATTTATTTCAGTATATTTATATATATATCATTAGCGTACGCAGCGGGGGGGCAGGGGGACAAATCCCCCCCCCCCCCCGCTAAGCCAAAAAATGCAGATGCCGGATATATTTTTCAAAAATATTTTTGTTTAGAGTGTTGTGCAGATTTACTTTAAAACATTTCCATATTTTTTAATTCGTTTGTAAATAAAAATTTTAACTTGTAAAAATTGATAAGAATATATAAACATGTTATTTTAACAACTTTTTACAAGTCAAATAATTTTATTTTCAAATAAATTAATAAATATAGAAATGTTTTGAATTAAATTTACACAGTACTATATTAATTTATATTTGTTAATATTTATTCCTATCTCATATTAAATATATATTTAATTACATTTATTATCACATTCATCACTAAGTTTATCAATTAATTTCGATTTCAAGTTTTCCCGTGTAATATTTTCTTATTATTTTCAAATTTTTAGTGGCGTAATATTTATCTACCATTTTTAAATTTCCAGTCAAATAATAATTATTCTGAAATTGTCCAACAGGGAGAAAGAAATTGCAACCTTGTCCTACGAGATAGAGTCTCCGCCATCAAGCAGTAAAAGCTTTTATGGAGTTAGAAGAGCCGATTATTTGCTATTACTGACATATCACAATGGCCTAAATAAAATTTTTCCTTAGAAGCAAAAAAATTATTGGATTCAATGCTTATTTCAAATTTTTTTCTCATTAGAATGTACAACTATTTTATGTATTACTTTTCAAAAACATGATGACTTGATTAAGAAGATGAGAATAGCGGAGAGCATTTTATTAGAATTCAAGGAAATTAGGGCTAATGTTTATGAAGAATTTCATATTTTATATGTTATTGTTAAGTCAAAAGCAGAGCTATATGTGTTTAATATTTGTCTCATTCGACTTGCAGCAAGGCAAGCTCATAGCTAAAACATTAATATAGGATCAGTAGATATCTTAGATACAAATACATTTATAAACCAAATAAATGAATGGTTTTTAATTCATTATGCAGCACTTACTCTGCAAATATTATTTTCATAAAAGCCTTCCCAACCTTTTTCAGAAGGTGATAGAAAAAATTTGTTGGATTTTTATCATGAAGATGTTAAAGTATCTTATGATGCCTTATTAGCTGAATAACTATGTTTATAAGATTAACTATGGTTGATACAGTCCCAAAAAATGCTATGGATGCTCTGCATTATTTCAAACACATTTTAGATTATAATCCCAATGTATTAAAAGGGTTTATATATTCGCAACTCTTTCCAATAGTATAATGAGATAACATTCTCTTTTTTAAGAAGAATAACAGAGCTTTGCAGAAGTACCATTTGCAGGGCACGACCCGGATTTTTTTAAAGATTTTTACGGCTAAGCTCAATTTTCAGGCCCGACCCGGATTTTTTTAAAATAAATTATATTTATTTTTGATTTTTATAGCTAATAATAACGATTTCAAATATAGGCTGTTTTAAAATATACAGTCCGGCCCGGATTTTTTTTTTAAAAAAATTTTCAGGCCCGGCCTAGATGTTTTTTTTTTAAATTCAGGCTCAGCCAGGGTGTTTTTTTTTAAAAATTTCGGGCCCTGCAGGTCTCTCAAAAACATACCAAGAAGTACAACTTTTGAAAGTAGATTGAAAGGTTTGGATCTTTTGAATATTCATAGGCATTTGACAATCAGCAAGGATGAGATAATTGAAAAATTAGCTCAATCCCAACGAAGATTGGATTTTACATTGTAAATATATAACATACAAAATACAATTATTCCCTAAGCTTTTTGTGTATTAATTTATATTTCTAACATTTAAATTTTTTATACTTTATATATAAATTTTAAAGCTGAAAAAATTCAAATTTCTATTTTGGGTCATTTAAGTGATTCTTTACATATAATTTTTTTATAATTCACATTAATTTAAAATTGTATTAGAAATAGTTATTAGTCTTAATAAATTTATGCTTGATATTTTTAAAAAACAATAATATTTCTTAAAAAATTTTATTATCCCCCCCCCCCCAGACCAAATTCCTGCGTACGTGCCTGATATATATATCTTGACAAATAAATATATTCACCACATCAATTAATCATATTACCAATTCATTTACTTTTCAAGGTTAATTTATATATAATTGATTCTATTACAAAACTTTAACAGATTGAGACCGTATCACAGATCGGACAGATTTTAACTGAATGTAGACCTATTCATTTGAAAAACTAACTGTTGGTTTTTTAAAAATCGATCTTTTTAGACAGAACTGATTCTTTTCCAGTTTTCTTTTTGAAGAAAATTTAATACGTTAATTTTTTTAAAAAAAATTTACAAGGGTTTCGCCTCATCAATGGTAAACTTTATCGATCTGGACAAATCCGATCAAACCTTTTTGAACAACAAAGGATCGGGTATTTTTGATGATATCAATAATGACAACGTGGATGATGAAAGTATCGACGAATCGAACGAAGACGAGATGACAATCATATTGGATGAAAAGGAGCCATTGATAGCAGCTAACCAACCTAAAGAGTATAAATTTCGAATTGACTAATTTTTTTTCTCTCTAAGTGGTCTATTTAGTTTTACGTTGTTTTTTTTAAAAAATATTTGATTTTTTAAAAATTTTTAATCTATGAGTAAAATAATATTGAAGTTGCGAATCAGCCTCTGCCATGTTTAGGTTAATCCTATATTTTTTTTGTTGAAAAATCAAATCTTTAGACATATCTTATAAAAACTAATTGTAACCCACACCCAGTATTTTAGCCCCATATTTAATTTAGGTAAAATCAGTTAATTTAGTTAAACGACTTGATTTTTAGCCGATATGTAAAAATAGCTAACTCAATATTATATCCAGAAAAAAAAGATTACGCGAGTGTTAAGAGTTTTCTAATGAATCGCACAAATGTTTGGACATCTATTAGCGAATTCTCAATACTTAGGCGCTAAAATCTTGATTAAGCCGATTTTTTTTAAAAAATAGGTTCAAATCGGGTCGTTTAAACAACAACTAAATCAGGTTTGGACTACTAAATTTTTTTTACTCAAAAAAAAATTTATGAGCGTTTTTTTTTATCGCGATAAACGATTTATTTTACTGATCAAAAATTACTCCCCAGTTTTATATATACGATTTGTCAATTTTCACTGGACAAATAAATATAAAACAAGAAGAAAAAAAATAATAGTGACAATTTAAAGCATAAAATGCTGGGTGATATTGCTCCCCTACCATTCCCCCATAAAATATATTTTTCCATTTTTTTAAAAAGCTCTATAGAAAACGCATTTAATCTGTCAAAGCAAATCGAATCGGGTACACCCTTTCACTTTACCCGCAAAACTGATGATTTACCCTACACACCTCATAATATCAGTCAATTACACGTTCTCGATGACGCCGCGAAACACTCGGAGATCCAAATCCCTGATTTAGCGTCCTTGAATGACAAAAAATTGCCCTGGAAATCTAAAGTCAGGTTTCAAGAACAACAACAAAACCTTTTTTTTTCTTGGCTCTCAAAAATGAGAAGAAGTGCTGTTTTTTTAGTACGATTTTAATTGTAGCATTTTTGATTAAAAGGCTGGATATCGTGATAAAATTATAATATGTATTCGTATGTTAAACTAGCCCACATATTCGCTCCATCCATTGTTTTTTAAAATTTTTTTTTTAACCTGAACTTACCTATATTTTTTGGGGGGAACAAAAAAAATTTATCCTTGCCACCAATTGGTCTAAAAAATGTTGGGCTCGCCCATTGTTTCAAAATCATAAGAAGATTTATTCGTTTTGATTGCTTTAATTTAATTATTACGATATTTTTAACGATTAGTTTCTCGAGAAAAATATTTTATAGGCTACTCCTACTCCCCCCCCCCTTATTTTTCTTTATTTATAACGATTATTTATTGATTTAATCTCAATATCATTTGCGTTTTTCTTCAATAGATAAATTCTTCTTTTTTTTTAAATTAATGATCACCGATTTTTTTTTTATTGAATACAGGAATAGCGATATTTTGGAGTTCTTAAATAAATCCAGACACAAATTTTTGGGCTTCACTTTACCGAACGATTCAACTACTTTGACCGGATTACCCAGGCCTATACACGAGAGTTATCAAACACTCAAAAATGTTTTTTTAAAAAAAACCCATTAATATCACTTTCATTAATATTAATAATTTTGTGTTGTTACAAGGCTCTTTTTGAGCCGATTTTTATAAAATAACTCAATATCTTATCCAGAAAAATATTACGTTAGCATGAAGATTTTTCCCATAGATGTGCACAAAGGTTTATACATTTATTATCGATCTCGAGGCTAGTTTAGCGGTTTTTAAAAATCGACTCAAATCGAGCCGTTTAACAATACTAGTTTTATTTATTTTATTTTTTGGGGAAGGAGGTGAGAGGGGGGGGCGAGTTTTAAATAATTTAAATATGTTTGTTAAAATAAATTTTATTTACAGCATTTATACATCCCTATATCTGAAATCGAGATTGAATTGGAAAACAAACGTTCCTTGTATCCTTACACTTTTAAGGTATATATATATTATATATATGTGCATGTTTAGAAAAAAGAAAAAACATTAATTTTTTACCGTAAAAAAAAATATTCGCTTTGTATAAATAGAAAGAAATAATTTTTTTTCAAAAATCATATATAGGAAAAACTTGTACCGCAGACAATCGCCGAAATGATGTACGAGAGTCTTTTGCCGAATATGACAGCTTATTTGGTAATCCGAATTGCTTAATAAAAAGATGAATATATAATCCAAAATATTTGTAATATAATATTCACAAATCCATTTTTTGAAATAGTTTTAAATTAAAGTTAGTAAAAATAAATGGGAAGAATTTATTAATCGGTAATAGTAATAGAACACCAAATGTACACCCGCTCTACCTTCTTTTTGTTGCAACTGATGCTATGGGAATTTGACACAAACAATTTTTATTCTTTTATTTTAAAATTTTTCCACACCAAAATAATAAATATAATTTTTCAAATCTTTTTATAAATTAAAAAAATATATAATTATTTCAAATTGGAAAAAATTACAAATTTCGAACTCTTCTATTAATTAAAAACAAAAAAATGTGGAAAAAAAAGTATATATTATTTTTTTGGGGGGATAAATTTTTAGTAGTCGTACACCCCATATTGAAAGGCTTCGTAATATCGATCAAAATATGTAAATTTGTTTGTATTTTATTTTTCCATTTTTTTAAAAAAAAAAAACTTAGGTGAGTTTATTAAAAATTTTGCTGGCGGCATCACCCACCTCCAAGGCTAAAACTGAATCTATCAATATAAAAAATGACGTTTTGCCTAAAGAGATAAACGCGTAAATAATTTTTTTTTATCTGTTATCCAATATGATTGTCATCTCGTCTTCATTCGATTCATCGTTACTTTTCACTTTCATAATGTCATTATTGATATCATCAAAATAAAAATCCGATCCTTTGCTGTTCAAAAAGGTTTGATCGAATTTATCCAGAACGATAAAGTTGACCATAGAAGAGGCCAAGCCCTCGCCTGTCATAGCGAACCTAAAACTAGTGCTAAGCTACTCAGTATAACCGATTTTTAAAAAATGGCGGAATCAAGATGTGCGCGCATCTGCTGGCCAACTAATCTTGGAAGAATTGTTTTCCTGACTAAAATCTTGATTCCGACATTTTTATCTGATAAATCGAATCGTTCTCAACATACTAAAAATTAAATTCACATCCATTGCCAAATATTATTTCTCGAAAAATGGTGGTCGTTTAGCTTAGTTTTGAACCAGGCCTTAACCTGCATTTCATCGAAATAACCGAATTGAAATGTGCTTCTTAGACTAGCAAAAAAGGGAAGAAGGGATGCATCTTTAAACGCGTTTTACTATGTCAAAATCGATATTATATATTTTTAAAAAATAAACTAACCGCGCTTGAAAATGGAATGCTCCATTCAGAATTAAGAACATAATTTAAGACAAATTAGAATCTATTATTACTTTTTTTTTTTAAATTATTTTTAAATGGCCGTTTTTAGGAATTGCTTAAACTGACCCGATTAAGATTTTTTAGCCCAAATGTTAATTATGCAATCCTCGAGATTCGACAAATAATTGTATACACCCTTTCTGCCATCTGTAACTTCAGGCTTACAATAGGGTAAAATCTTAATCGGACCGTTTTTAGGGCCCGTTTAACTACACTAGTCGTTTTATTTAATAAAAAAAAATACAAGTAAGTCTCAGAATGAATTGCTTTTATTGGAGTCCGATATCAAGAGGCACAAATCGATAGTAGCGAAGACAGTTAGCGGAATACTGTTTCTTTTGTTGAAGCACTTCAAAGTCAACCACATTTATCAGGTTTGCGTTTTGAATATAGTGCAATATTTTTTTATATCCACAACTGGTTGACCACCTTTAGGAAATTTCGCGCGCATTGTATTATTCTTCTTTTTTTTTTAATATATATATAGTCGAATTTTACTTTCGACGATACCTTAAACCTATTAAATTTTAAAATAATAGAAGTTTGCGAGAACTCTTAGATAAAATGTATTTCTTACGGGTTGGGTCGAAATAATTTGTTAATTTTAGGGCTAGTATATATATATTTTTTTTTTAATTCACAAGGAAAAAATATTAATATCCATATCTTTTTTTTTAAATTAAAAGTTTGAATACTGTTGTCAGTTATTATCAAGTGCCAATTGCGTGCCTTTAATTCTGAAATACTTTAATCAAGACATACATCAACACATAACTATCGACAAGGAGTATAAAAATATATTATATTATAAAGATATTATAATTTTAGTTAATATAGTATTCAGTAGATCTGCAAAGATAGGTCTGGTCTAAAGAGCTCGGACTGGCTAGATTTTGAGGTTCCCACACTAAATCGCCAAGTTCAAAATAGCCAAACATTTTTGTACGTAATTTAAAACACCACAAGTAATATAATATTTTATATATAATACAACCCTAATATATCATGATACTATTATAATGTAATAGAAGGAATTATAATACAAATATAATATAATACTAATATAATTATAATATAATGATATTATAATATAATAAAACACTTACATATAACATAGTGTAATACAATATAAAATTAAAATAATAATATAATACTAATATAATACAAATATAATATAATATGATACTAATTATAATTTTAATATTATAATATAATAAAATACTAACATATAATATAGTCTAATATAATATAAAATATATAATAATAATATAATACTAATATAATATAATTTGATACTAATAATGTAATACACTCTAATAAATATAATAATATATATTACTAATATAATTAAAATATAATGATATTATAATTATATATATAATTATAATATAATGATATAATATGAAAAATTACTAATAAATAATGTAATATAATACAAAATATATAATAATAATATAATCTAATATAATACTAATATGGTATACAGTATAATATTAATATAACGTTATATTATAATATAATAAAAATCCTAATATAAGTCTAATATAATATAAAATATATATAATAATATAATATAAATTTATAATAATAATATAATATAAAATATATAATAATAGTATAATGTAATATAAAATATGTAATAAAATAAAATTTTGTTTAATCAGGCGTCCTAGATTTTGACATCCTAATAGTTTATTTTTTAAGGTTTATATTGATTCATAAGTATATGGAACTCACTTTTCTTACTATAAGCTTCATGAATAAATTTTTTTATCTTAGTTAATTTAACTTTTACTCCTATAAATATCTGATATCTTAATATTATTTTTTTTAAGGTTTATATTGATTCATAAGTATATGAAACTCACTTATCTTATTGGAAACTTTATGAATAAATTTTTTTGTCGTAGTTAATTTAACTTTTATTCCTATAAATATCTGATATCTTAATATTTTTTTTTTAAGGATTATATTGATTCATAAGTATATGAAACTCACTTCTCTTATTGGAAACTTTATGAATAAATTTTTTTGTCGTAGTTAATTTAACTTTTACTCCTATAAATATATGATATCTTAATATTTTATTTTTTTTAAGGATTATATTGATTCATAGTATATGAAACTCACTTGTCTTACTGGAAACTCTATGAATAAATTTTTTTATCGTAGTTAATTTAACTTTTACTCCTATAAATATCTGATATCTTAATATTATTTTTTTTAAGGATTATATTGATTCATAAGTATATGAAACTCACTTCTCTTATTGGAAACTTTATGAATAAATTTTTTTGTCGTAGTTAATTTAACTTTTACTCCTATAAATATCTGATATCTTAATATTTTATTTTTTTTAAAGGTTTTGTATGCTTAGGTCTTTGTAAAAAAAGTACTAATATTTATTATAATATCGGATTAAATAAATATAATAAAAAACAAAAGTAATAATGTACAATTTAATATATACGTATATTTTTGTAAAATATAAAAAAGTAGTAATATTTTAAAATACAATTTAATATATACGTATATTTTTGTAAAATATAAAAATGTAGTAATATTTTAAAATACAATTTAATATGTACGTATATTTTTGTAAAATATAAAAAAGTAGTAATATTTTAAAATACAATTTATTATATACGTATATTTTTGTAAAATATAAAAAAGTAGCAATATTTTAAAATACAATTTAATATATACGTATATTTTTGTAAAATATAAAAAAGTAGTAATATTTTAAAATACAATTTAATAAGTATAATTTTGTAAAAATATAAGAAAGTACTAATATTTATTATATTATCGTATTAAATAAATATAATAAAAAAACAAAATTAATAATGTACAATTAAATATACAAGTAAAATTTAATCAGAATAACTTGAATATATATTATTTGATTAAAAATTTACCAAAAATGATATTTTGTCTAAAAAGGAAAACAAATTTAAGATTACTCTATCATACATAGACGTTAGATTGTCTATTTTATGCATAAGTTCGATTTGCTTGCCGAACAATCGATCCATTATGAATTTGTTAGAGTTTAATATCATTCGAATTTTGATTTTCGATCAAAATTTTTATAAGAACGTACACATTCGGATGTGCACTGCTGGTTTTCCTTTTTAGAGCATGATGGAACCCCTCGAGGTGGTTATTTGTGCGGGGCCCATCTACATAATACCTAAAATAAATATTGAAAAATATTAGAATAATTGAATACAATTATTTTAAGTTTTTATACCTTGTCCATATACTATGGGGGAATAAGGCAGTTTCACCAAGCCACGTATGATCCATATACTCCATAAAACGAAGTAGGGATGGATTGTTAGTTGCCATTGAGTAGCAAGATAAACGAACCTCGGCCAAATGCTCCTCCTTGCAAAATGGTAAAGTTGTCATCCGCCTAACAACTATATGGACATGGGAGTCGTTCAGGTAGTCCCTAACTAAACCCAAAGCTTGACATTTCCGCCATAAAGCTTGAGAATAATGGAAGAAACATCCTAAATATTTTAAATTATAATTTACATATATTATAATTTAACCTTTGATCACTATGGAAATACAAATCGAAGAGCAGATATAGCCGCTGCCTCAAAATCTGTTTGACCATTTGGAGGATTGAAATTGATGCCTTCCAGGATACAAAAATTTCTGACTATATGAAATAGTTGAATATATGTCTCCCTTGATTTATCTGGAAGGAGAGCATATATAACTGGTATCATGACGTTTTCATACATCACGTGTATGGTATAGAGCTGACAATATAATCTCGGAACTATGTAGAAAGTTCCGTCCATATATATTGTCGTAGCAGCTCCCAACAATTTTAACATATCCGTAGTCCCAAAGACCAATATCCTATTAGATTCAGTAGGGATGTGAAATCTTTGAGATCTGGTAGAGGTTGCATATACAGGCGTTAAACGAGGATGAGGATTTATCAAAAAACTATCGATATTAGATGTTTAGAGACTACTCACATCGAAAATTATCCAGAGGCTATCTCCCCTTTCATATCAATTAGGGGTCATATTGACAGACTTCTAAAGAAATATAGGCCTTCCATGCCTCATTCAATTGAGGATTTAATATTAACGCCTGTATATGCAACCTCTACCAGATCTCAAAGATTTCACATCCCTACTGAATCTAATAAGATATTGGTCTTTGGGACTACGGATATGTTAAAATTGTTGGGAGCTGCTACGACAATATATATGGACGGAACTTTCTACATAGTTCCGAGATTATATTGTCAGCTCTATACCATACACGTAATGTATGAAAACGTCATGATACCAGTTATATATGCTCTCCTTCCAGATAAATCAAGGGAGACATATATTCAACTATTTCATATAGTCAGAAATTTTTATACCCTGGAAGGCAGCATCAATTTCAATCCTCCAAATGGTCAAACAGATTTTGAGGCAGCGGCTATATCTGCTCTTCGATTTGTATTTCCGAATATAGTGATCAAAGGTTAAATTATAATATATGTAAATTATAATTTAAAATATTTAGGATTCTTCCATTATTCTCAAGCTTTATGGCGGAAATGTCAAGCTTTGGGTTTAGTTAGGGACTACCTGAACGACTCCCATGTCCATATAGTTGTTAGGCGGATGACAACTTAACCATTTTGCAAGGAAGAGCATTTGGCCAAGGTTCGTTTATCTTGCTACTCAATGGCAACTAACAATCCATCCCTACTTCGTTTTATGGAGTATGTGAGCAAATCGGACTTATGAAAGATTAAATCATAAAATAGACAATCTAACGTCTATGTATGATAGAGTAATCTTAAATTTGTTTTCCTTTTTAGACAAAATATAATTTTTGGTAAATTTTCAATCAAATAATATATATTTAAGTTATTCTGATTAAATTTTACTTATATATTTAATTCTACATTATTAATTTTGTTTTTTTATTATATTTATTTAATACGATAATATAATAAATATTAGTACTTTTTTATATTTTTACAAAATTATACTTATTAAATTGTACATTATTACTTTTGTTTTTTTATTATATTTATTTAATCCGATAATATAATAAATATTACTACTTTTTTATATTTTACAAAAATATACGTATATATTAAATTGTATTTTAAAATATTACAACTTTTTTATATTTTACAAAAATATACGTATATATTAAATTGTACTTTAAAATATTACTACTTTTTTATATTTTACAAAAATATACGTATATATTAAATTGTACATTATTACTTTTGTTTTTTATTATATTTATTTAATCCGATATTATAATAAATATTAGTACTTTTTTTTACAAAGACCTAAGTATACAAAATCTTAAAACAAATAAAATATTAAGATATCAGATATTTATAGGAGTAAAAGTTAAATTAACTACGACAAAAAAATTTATTCATAAAGTTTCCAATAAGATAAGTGAGTTTCTCTTCCTTATGAATCAATATAAACATTAAAAAAAAAATATTAAGATATCAGATATTTATAGGAGTAAAAGTTAAATTAACTAGACAAAAAAATTTATTCATAAAGTTTCTAATAAGATAAGTGAGTTTCTTATACTTATGAATCAATATAAACCTTAAAAAAAATAAATAAAATATTAAGATATCAAATATTTATTGGAGTAAAAGTTAAATTAACTAAGTTAAAAAAATTTATTCATGAAGCTTATAGTAAGAAAAGTGAGTTCCATATACTTTTGAATCAATATAATCCTTAAAAAAAATAAAATATTAAGATATTAGATATTTATAGGAGTAAAAGTTAAATTAACTATAAAAATTTATTCATAGAGTTTCCAGTAATACAAGTGAGTTTCATATACTTATGAATCAATATAATCCTTAAAAAAAATAAAATATTAAGATATCAGATATTTATAGGAGTAAAAGTTAAATTAACTAGACAAAAAAATTTATTCATAAAGTTTCTTATACTTATGAATCAATATAAACCTTAAAAAAAATAAAATATTAAGATATCAGATATTTATAGGAGTAAAAGTTAAATTAACTAAGATATAAAAATTTATTCATGAAGCTTATAGTAAGAATAGTGAGTTCCATATACTTATGAATCAATATAAACCTTTAAAAAAAATAAAATATTAAGATATCAGATATTTATAGGAGTAAAAGTTAAATTAACTACGATAAAAAATTTATTCATAAAGTTTCTAGTAAGACCAGTGAGTTTCATATACTTATGAATCAATATAAACCTTAAAAAAAATAAATTATTAAGATATCAGATATTTATAGGAGTAAAAGTTAAATTAACTACGATAAAAAATTATTCATAAAGTTTCCAATAAGACAAGTGAGTTTCTTATCAATATAAACCTTAAAAAAAATATAATATTAAGATATCAGATATTTATAGGAGTAAAAGTTAAATTAACTAAGATAAAAAAATTTATTCATGAAGCTTATAGTAAGAAAAGTGAGTTCCATATACTTATGAATCAATATAAATCTTAAAAAAATAAACTATTAGGATGTCAAAATCTAGGACACCTGATTAAACAAAATTTTATTTTTAATTATAATTTTATTTTATTATTATTACATATTTTATTATTATTACATATTTTATTATTATTACATATTTTATTATTATTATATATTTTATATTACATTATACTATTATTATATATTTTATATTATATTAGACTTATATTAGGATTTTTATTATATTATAATATAACGTTATATTAATATTATACTGTATTACATATTAGTATTATATTAGATTATATTATTATTATATATTTTATATTAGTATTATATTATATTTGTATTATAATTCCTTTTATTACATTATATTAGTATCATGATATATTATGGTTGTATTATATATAAAATATTATATTACTTGTGGTGTTTTAAATTACGTAAATATTTGGCTATTTTGAACTTGGCGATTTAGTGTAGGAACCGGCTATTTACTTTAAATTGAGTCCATTATTAAAATTTTGGCTGCCATTTTTTTGAGGACGTAATTGGATGTTTTAGCTATTTTGAGCTCGGCGATTTAGTAGTTATACGGATTTTTGAAATAAAAAAAAATTATAAAAAACAAGGCACCAATATTTTTTTATTTGATGGAATGATCAAAAAAAAACTAGATTATGTATGTAAAAATGACAAATTATAATTGAAAAGTTTGAATTTCTAATATTTAAATCAATTCGAGCCTGGGCCGGGTGGACAAATAATTCCTATTTTGGAACGAACTTTTCAAGACAAAATAAAAAAAACAAATTTTCGGACCAGGCTTGGAGAATTTGGTCTGATGCAGATCACTAGTATTTAAGTATTTGTTTTTTTTAAAAAGAACCGCGAAAGAGTGTTTATTATTTAGCCTTAAAAAAACAAATTTATATGCTTAGTTAGGTTATGTATTTAATTATTTTTTTTCTAAATTCTATATATAGCTTTTTTAAAAAAGAACCTAAAGGGTGTTTCCTAGGTCAGCTTAATTTGGGTACTTAATTGTTTTTTAGTATAGGCTAAAAAAGTTTTTGAACCCTGGATACTTTATTTTGGCTTATTTTAAATATTCGGAATTTTCGTACTTTATTCTCGTTTTTTTTTGTTTTAAATTTTTCTTTTACTTTTTTAGCTATTTAACCGACCTATGAGCTTTTAGAGATGTTGCAAAATATTTCTTTAACCTAGGCATATAATTTTTTGAAATTTATTTATTTTTCTTTTATAGGATATTATGAGAAATTTATAATATCTCTCATGTTAATATTATTTTTTTTAAAAATCATTATTTAAAATAACAATTTTTTTTTTAAATAATCTAAAAAGCCACCCATATATGAAGTTTCCTAATTACGTGCTGAATAATTCATGCGATAGAAACAGCTTGCGAGAATTTCTAGTTATGAAAATTATATATTATATATACATTATTTATAACTTTATTATATGTAATTATTATTTGAGTGAATTTAAAATTTCAATTTTGGAACCAAGACAAATGTAGCAACAGGCATTTCCCGTTTCTAAAATCGCAAAAATACAAAAACAAAATTAATTAATTTAGCTTATATCTCCTAGTAAATTTTTTATATTAAATTTGAAAAAAAATAATATCAATTTGATGCTAGCGAAGCAAACACGCTTATTTTAAATTGTGCTTTTTTTTAAAAAAAAATCGCTACAAATGGAGGAAATGTAGATATTTGTTAAAAGTTCTGGGAACAATGATGATATTTTCCTCCATTTTTTGCGATTTCGTTTACTTCCATCTATTAATATTAGTGCTGTAAACATTACCTCAAAAAAGGAACGCTTTACCGTTACTCTTTAAAAAATTAATTATATATATATATATAAAATAAAATATTTTCATTATATATATATATATAAAATAAAATATTTTCATTATATATATATATATAAAATAAAATATTTTCATTATATATATATATACATACATTAATGATCTGCAGAGGTTTCAAAAAATTTTTACTGCCCGGCACGGCTCTTATATTTTCAGGCCCCGCCTCATGTACCCAGGCCAGGACTGCAGGTCTCTATATAAAATAAATAAGTTTATGCAAAAAATAATATATAAGATATTTTTTGTAATCATTCTATTTTTAATAACAATTGATTTTTAAAATTTTGATCAGATAAACAAGAGCGCCTAGTGCACACGTTCAACTGGCGCAGAGTATGAGAAGATTGTAATATATTGGATAAATAAAAAAAATTTATTTGGAGGAATTTGATTAAAAATTAAAGAATAATCTTTTTTTGGAAAAAGCTTAGTTTATCGTAAAAAGAAACTTCATTCAGATCATCGTTCAATTTTTTTTTTATCGTGATTAGAAAATAATCTGTACGTTGTTTTTTAAAGGAAAGTCTGCCTTTTCTTTGTCGAGATCTTTTTTCAATTAGGAAATAAGTTCAAGCTTCCTTCCTTAGCTTACATCTAGTTTTATGAGGACCAATTTGATTTTAAAGAGCAGGTGAATTATTGCTGATAATATATATATTCAATTGAAATAAAATATTTTCAAAATACAAATTGTGAACAATACTTCAACTGTATACCTTTTATCTTTGTCTTGCAGAATTGCATTAATAGGTGGCTTTCAAAATGAAATTATTTAAAGCCATTTTTTAAAAATATTATAAAAATTATCGTGCGAGTGAGATTTCACAAATGCATTTTTTTTTCTCTCTAAAATCGAAAGAAGACTTAGGAACAGGTTCCATAACCTATAAAATCATATATATGACCATACATTATTCATCTATAAACGACTTCTGTAATTTATATTTATCACAAGATTCGTCAAATTTGTGACCATTATCCTTAATAAGACTATATTAATTTCAAAGAGATATAGAAAGAGTTCCATTTAACCAGTCAATCAGATGTATCCCATTTTCTTAAAAATGGCTGCACAGTTTGGAGGATGCCCATGTTTATTCCACAATTCCGTTTAATATTTGAGATGGGACTCAAATTACACTTACAAAATGTAAACTTTGTACCCTTCGTTTTCTTTATTCGTGTAAAAAAATGTTTATTGGAGCAAGGCAAGCTTTACTCATCTTCATCTGAAGAAAATGTACAATTGACATAATATTCTTTAATTAATAAGAATAAGAATATAAATCTAACATTGATTGACTCAATATTAATTAGATTAACAAACTCGACTGAAAATTTGACAACCAAAATTTAAAATAAAAATGAAAGAATTTGACGGTCAAAAACTCAGCTTAAATTATTTATAATTTAAAAAAATAAATTAAGATAATTTTATATTACAATAAAATATGTTTTTCCCATATTTTTTGAGAAAAATTTGGGGTAAGCGTTACCGTGACTCCTTTACCTCTAGAAGAAGGAACGAATGATGTTCTTTTTCTTCAGCAAAGGTAACGCCGTTACCTTTGACGTTACTTTACAGCATTAATTAATTTGAAAGAATTTCTAGGAGATCTAAGCATGATTCTCAATTTTAAAGATTTGGAACCTATCCTGAACTGGCATCCCCTTTAAGATTTCCATGAACTCCTATAGGCTTCAATCGCTTCATATAGTAAATTAAAAAAAAAAAATTGTGTAACCGAAATCGGGTTAAATCTGAAAAGCGGGACCAAAATTTCTTTTAAAAAATTATTTTTATACTTAATTTGATATTATTTTGAAATGGATTTATTTAGGATAGTATCGAAGACATGTCATCCATGCCAATTTATCATAACAAAGCTCAATCTTATAGCAAAGGCGAATATAGTTGGGCTAATTTGTTTACTTGTATCAACTTGGCACGAATTTTGAATATGCTGATCAAGGGAAAACAGACTCGTATAATGGTAAAAAAATATACGGTGTAACTGCCCGTTTAGGATTTTAGCCTAAATAATATTATGTAATCCTGGAGATTTTGCTCATATATGACAGAAAGATTAAGACCTTCCATTTACCAAGTCTTGAGGCTTGCATTATAATATTGGGTTAAAATCTTAATCGGACCATTTTTTAAACTTCATTAAATTACTCTCTTCTTTTACATGGTATTGGGTGTATTTTTTTTTTTATCGGGGTGTTTCATAAACTGCTCAAAATAAAAAATCTACAAAAATTTTTAAAACTAAGATCCTTTTTTTGAATATTTACAAAACAAGATTTATGATCGAATTTTTTCTATAAATTCTAAATCCTTTTTAGTCTTTTATAAGTAAATTCATATGTGATTTATGCCTAAAAGATCTTTCATGACTGAAATCACAATTTTTCTGACCATGAAATTTTACTCAGAATTTTGTAAATCCTGATTTTTTTGGGTAGTACAATAATCAAAATGGGCAGTATTTTTATTATCAAAAAATTAATTTTTTGTCAGTATTTTAAAATTTTTGGTAGTGAATTTATCAAAATGTGTAGTATTCTTTTATTAAAAAAATTAACAATTTTGCCAGTGTTTATATAATATTGAGCATTAAAAAAAATTAAGCTGAATTATAACTAAAAATTGTATTGTACTGTATTTATTTGAAAGATGTTTAGTATTTATTTAAATATCTTTTTATTATTAGCTATCAAGTAAAGTATATAATATGAAAATTAATATACCAAATATAAAAAAGTTATAAAATAAAATTATTTTTTTATATCTATTTAATTAAAACTACATGTAAATGTACAACAAGAGCCTTTTAATATACATATCTCTTTTATTATAAATTATCAAGAATATTATGAAAATTAACATAATATATATATATAAATTAGTAAATTAACAAATATGTCAAAAAGATCCAAATGGAATTGTATATCATTTGAGAAAATCTAAAAAATAGAGACTAATTTATAAATGTTTGCTTACATGTTATTGTACATCAAGAGTCTTTTTAAACTTTGAAGGTCAACCTCTGCGTCGTTTTTGCCAGATTGGAACGTCCATGACTGCTGAAGTATGTTTACAATAGTTTAATAAATATTAGAGCCAAACCAACAACGTGCTTACACTAAATAATTTAAAAAATAGAGCAATTTTCCTTTGTTTCAATCATCTTTGTTATATTTATTTTGAGCTAGTCTTACGAACCAAATGCTTAATATATTTATTAAAAGAACTCCAGTCTAAATTATTCACAAATTTATTTCATCCTGATTAATTACTTGCAATTTATCAGCAGAGATATAGTGCTCAATATAATTATCCCTCTCAATTGATGGAATATATTTTTTAATTTAGCCCAGTTATAACCTGATTTTCTAAAGTAATTGTTGGATATGTCATAAACCATTTCTAAGTGGTATAGGTTAAATACCATTTTTCAACCATCTCCATACCAACAATTTTGAAATTGGATAAAGCCTTTTTAATATTTTCATCTTAATTAATCGATTGTTTGCTTCTAGTGCATTGTTGATGCTAGGTGTAAACTGTTTAAAACTTCATACTATGTGTTCTTTGAATTTAGCTATTCCATTTCGTAATATTTAAAGTCTGGAACTGCTGATTTCCCTTTTTTTAAATAAAGAATGTAGTGGCTCTAGCAAAATTAATTTGGTCTTGAGCTAATTATAATTTATTGATACCATCTATAATTTAAGTTTGATGCTATTTTTGGTACTAAAAATTAAAACTTCCCAAGTAAATAAAAAAAAACTGGAAAATTATTTATTAACTGACCAAAAATTTTAAGTATCTACCAAATGTTTTTTCTACGGTCCATTTTAATTTACAACCCTAATAATTTGTTCTCTTTTTTGTATACTTATAGACCTATTCGATTTTTTTATTTTATTTTTTATAATTTTAAGAATAATTATATATTGCTTAATATTACAGATGTTAGTGGTATTTGGTTCCGCCCCGATCCTTAGAAAAGCGCTCAAGGTCAAAGAAATAACTCTACAGTATTACTTGCTAAAACTGCTCAAATTGCAAATGAAATATTTAGGGAGACAATGGAGGAAAAATAATATGAGGATCGTGAGCGCGATTTATCAATGCGTGAGGCATCACCTCAACGACGATTGGGCTTATGGCAATTGTGAGTGAGCTTTGTTTGTGAAATTTTAATAAAATACGATTTTAATATTCCTAAATATTAATAAAGGAAAATACATGATTCATGATACCAATATAAAAATATGAATAAGAGAAGAGAGAGTCTTCTTCTCGGGCGAACAACTCTTTGGATTTACTTTTAAATTTTAGTATCTAACCACTTAAATCCTTTTGAAGCCTTTTAGCTTATTTTATCCAACTCACTAAATAAACAATAAATAAAAATCAGATAACGAGATTAAACCTCGGGATTTCCATTCGGACGAAGCTCCATTGAAAGTTGTTATCGAAAAATTTCATCTCAGAAGGTACCCCTATCTTTTCGATTCCGATAACACTAGCAATAAGCCCATTTTTAACATAAAAAATGGGTTGAATGACAAAGAACACGCGAACGATAACAGGGAGCACATTTCTAAATTGGTAAACGAGCATTGCGGCGAAATGAGGATCAACACTGACGATAAAAGTCAAATCGTGCTGAATAACTTATCGGAACTTATAAATAAGATGAAGGTTAGTGTTTGATAACACACTCGCGCGCAAATTTTTTATTCGACAGAATATCAATTTTTAAAAATTATTTTCGAGTGAACGCCTAGTACAATGCAATTTGACAACTAGCTGGTCGAATTTTATCGTATTTAATATGAGGTAATAGAAAGGCTGATTTCAAATATTTGATAAACTTGATCAGCTAATAAATGGCGGCACACCGCTACGCATTTAGTTCAAGTTGTAAAATCATGAGAGTCCATTTTTTTAAAAATTTTGAGTTAAATTGGAAAAAAATATAGACATTGATTTTCACAATTTTAGAAATTTTATATGATTTAAACTTAATATGAGTGATTATAGGTAAATAAGGATGTTGTACTCACTAACCCCCAAGCTAGCTATATCAAAGGATCTCATAGATACGATGACGATGCCGTAAACATTTTCGACACTTTGAAAGCCGTCGAAGATATAGAACTAACCTCCAATTTCAAGAAAAATTACGAAAAATGGTTGGAAAGGGAGGTATTTGGCATGAGAATAGAATGGGACAAACTTTTGGATGATAACTAATCTTCCTTACAACGAAAATATATAATCCTTTATATAAAATTATCACTGTATTTTTAAAGATTTACAATTGTGGTTCATATAAAATTGCCTATTCTTCGTCCTAATAACTTTATAAATAACGATACTTTTATATGTGCCATTTATAGTTGGAGAATTGCTATTAACAGTTTTTCTTCTTCGATTGGTTTGCATTTCCTAATATCATTGGCATTTGACATATCATAAATACGTATGCTCATCATCTGAGTCGTTTTGGTTAAATTTTAAGATTTTTGTGATTCTGAAGTAATTGAGAAAGTGAATTTTCAAGAGTAAATCCGGGTGACGTTTTTAAACGTATAATATTCTTTTTCTTCATCTGTTGAGTCAAAATAAATACATTTTCAATTTTTTTGCATGTCCTAATTTTAAGTGGATTGAGATTGTGAATTTTCAAGAATACAAGACGCGTGACGTTTTTAGATAAATAATTTTTTCCTTCATTGGCTTATATATCTTAAAAAACATAATTTTATTTATAAAATTTGAATCAATATACGTTTTAGTAAGAAGTAACAAGGAAATCTTTCTCTAAATCGCTTTGATATTTAATTATAACTAATTATGCATGCAATAGTGGTTAAAAATGGACTCCGACTTTCTAGATTTCTTCTCTTCGTTCCATAATAAAATTTAAAAAAAGAGAATTATATATGTCAGTCTCAGTCAATAGAATAAATAATAATATTTGGAACATTTTCTTGCCAAAACCGACACTACCAGTTATCGAGACGACACTAACCTATCACAAATATTGATATATAATTTGCTGAAACATACAAAAATTATTTTAAAAAAAATAATAAATAAATTATCAATCTTAAAAAATCAGGAAACAAAGGAGTGGAGGCAATCTTTTTAAAAATTATTATTACTAAGATAAAAAAATGGAATAGAAAATTACATTTTTTTAAAAAAAAATTAGTATAAATATATTTTTGCCTGATTTAATTATTTTTTGGTGTCAAAAATTGGGCTAAAAAGCTATTTAACCAAATTTTAAGAGGGTTAAATAATTTGATATTGATAAAGGAAAAATTATTATTTCAAATAAATAAAGTTAAAGAATACTCTGGCTCATACTGAGATTGGATAATATTTCTGTAGAAACCCGTCTTCATTTAATTCTTCCTTCTCTCTATGAGAATAAAACGTCAAAGGATATTCTAACTTATGGATAAATTTTATCCTAAAAATAAATATTTTTAAATATCCCCTGAATCAGGTACGATTCTGTTACAATTTATTTTTATAACCTTAATATAACATTTATAAAAATTAATACCATCTATTTTACATATTAACTAGGATTCTTTGTAAAAATAATAATGATCGGGATGTATTTTCAATAAATAAATTGTATTCTAATTCTTTTTATAAATATTTTAATTAATTATATTTGTCATGTTGGTAGTTCAGAATAAGATATTTCAATATTTTGAAGATGATATAAAAGTCATTTGGATGGTTAATAAAAATAATACAAATATATATGATTTTGGTTATTTATATAAAAGGTTTTCGAATATATTTTTTTGATGAATTATATATACTGATAAATAATTTTAACAAAAATGATAATAACCCAACTCAAGGAATCTTCAACTCAGAGAAATTTTTTAATTGGAAGATATCTATATAAAGCTAAACAAGTAAATAGGATTAAAGTATCTACTGGATCTTATCAGCAGTATAAGATTTGCAAATGGGTTAATGTTAATCAAGGGTTTCAGGTATGGGTAAGAGATAAGATATATTTTCGAGGGTTTTAATCAATAACATAATGTTTTAATAATTTTATAACAACTTGTATCTGACAAGCCATGTGATTAAAAATAATTTCCTTGAGTTGGTCATATATATAAAATAGAAATTCCAAAACTAATGGAATGGGTCAAATCAAAATTTACGGATTAGAAATATTAAAATGATTTTTTTATATTAAGTTATAAATTCATCCAAGAAAAGAAAATATATTTTTAAATACAAGAATAATGTTAGAAGATTCTTATAACCACTAAATCGCCAAGTTCAAAATCGCGATAACATCCCCAAAAAATAACTGCAAATTTAAAAGCCATTATTATTGTATATTTTTATTAAAAAACCAAAAAAAACACTGATATAATTGTCATTTGGGCTATGAATATTTGTTCAAGGGGTATGGTCAAAATTATGTTTACCTAAAATGTAGAGATAACATAGAGGGCCGAGCAAAGCTTTCCTTATTCACCAATACAATATTATCACTTAATTCATTTTTAATCTAGATAATCATAGTTCAAGGCCAGTTTTGCTGATTGTACACAATTTGTGAAACTTCAGGTGAGTTTATTTTTATATAAATAAAAAAATATAAGTTAAAAGTGTTTTGGATCTATATATATATTGTATAATTTGAAAGAATAAGTTAACATGAAAGTTAAATAAAAATGTAAATTAAATAAATATAAATTAATGAGTGTATGATATAATTTTTTGGAAGTAATTAAAAAATTTTAATAGCCAATTACAGTAGTACCCTCCAAACAAGGCTAATGATAATGCACGGTAAGCTTTGCACTATTTTTTTCATAAATTAAAAAGCACGCCAAAATACGTCATATATTTATTTTTATGTAAATAAATAAAATTACGAAAGCTCTCGTTTATAAATGTTGGTTTTATAATTATTTTATTTGAATCAGAGACGCCCGGCCCGGGCCGTATTTTAAATTTTTTAAATATACCCGGGCCGGGCCTAAAAAATTTTTTTTTTAAATATATCCGGGCCGGGGCGGTACCTAAGATTGTTAAACCCGGGCCGGGCCTTAATATTTTTTATAAAAATTTTTACATTATGAGTTAATGGTTATAAGATTATATTATATTATAGTTATGATTAATATAATATTGGGTGATGGTTAACACACCTAACACCCTAAGATCGATCTAATTATTAATTTCCTGCAACTTTATTCAAAGTATTAATATATTTTTTTATAATTCATATCTAAATTTTTACAACATATTTTACCAAAACAATCAAATAAAGGAATATCTTAAATACGCCTCAATATTCAAGTATTAATAATATATTTTTTATAATTCATATCTAAATTTTTAGAATATTTACCAAAACAATCAAATAAAGGAATATCATGGCACAAAATACTAATGATATAATTAATAAAATTAAAAATAATGTTTATTCTTTTAGAAATACAAATAATAATTTAAAATCTGAAATATGGGCTAAATTTAACATCATCATAGATGAAAATAAAAAAACATTGGCTACGTACAATGTAAGAATTGTTCAAGTATATTATCTTATATTTATAAACATGGTACATCACATCTAAAAAGACATAAATGTGATGGTAAATCCATGAAAATTAATAAATTTTTTTTACACCTGAAAAACCAACCTATAAATGTAATATAAAATATTTAAAAATTATAAAATAAATTATATTAATATTGTGCAATTAGATTATATTTTCAAAATACTATTTATTATACATGCATTTTTTTAAATAGCGATTTATTTTTATTTTATAAATTAAATAGTAAATGGTAAATTAAATACAATATATATTCTCAAAATATTTTCCATTTTTATAAATTAAATATTAGTTTTATTTTTTTTAAATGCAATATAAAATATAGTATATGCTCAAAATATTATTACCATTTTTATGAATATTAGTTTTATTTTTATAAATGCAAAAAATATAGTATATGCTCAAAATATCCATTTTTATAAATAACAGTTTATAATTTTTATAAATTCAATATAATATTCTCAAAATATTAGCTTTTTTCATGTATTTTTTAAATAATAAGCGATAATACTCGCTGAAAAATATGGTAAAATACCTCATAGGTGAATTTTTGTATATACCAGGTCGAATATAATTTTAAAAAATTCCGAGCCGGGCCTGAAATTTTTTTTTTTAAATATCCAGGCCGGGCCTTAAATTTTTAAATCCGGGCCGGGCCTTAAATCTTTAAATCCGGGCCGGGCCGTAGAAAATTTTTTTAAAAAATATCCGGGCCGGGTTTAAAATTAAAACCGGGCCGGTCCGTGCAAATGGTGCCTCTGCAGGTCTCTGATTTGAATACCAGAAATAATCAAAATGGATACTCATAAATTTTAAAAGTATATTGTATTTATATAGTTATAATAATGATTTTATATTTAAAATTTAATAAAACAGGTCCGTGAAGTTGTAGGAACGATGTAAGGATCAATTAACAAAACCTATGCCATTATTTAGAGTCTTAATTGATCTTCAAACCAGACATCAGCGGAATCAAAGGTTATTGAGTTATAAGCAAAATAATGAAAGTGCGAAGATTTGCAGCTGTAGGAATGATTTGAGGATCAATTACCAAAATTTATACCATTATATAGCCCGTTAATTGATCCTAATTGATCTTCTATCCGGAAAGCAGCGGGAACCGTTACTGAGTTATGAGCAAAATAAGAAAGTGTTGGCACTTTGCCAAAACCGAAAATATAAAAGATCACGATCTGAAACTTAGCAATTATTTAGGCTTTAATTTGTACGTTGATAATTTCCAAATCGGATATCGATATCACTAACCGCAACTGAGTTATGACCTGTTTTTATAGCGTGAAGTTGTAGGAATTTTTTTAAAAAGTGAGGAACAATTACCTAAAATTATGCCAAAGTGTGGTGAGTTAATTGATCCTCCAGAATCTTTAAACCGCATATCAACGGAATGAACCGTTCGTGAGTTATAAGCAAAACAAAAAAGTGTTGGCACTTTTCCAAAACCGAAAATAAAAAAGATCAATTTTTATCGAAATGTTTTTTTACAAACTCAAAAAATGATATACATGTGTTCATAACATAAAAAAAACTATTTTCATTCTTAACTTCTTTGACGTTCGTGTTAATTAAAGTTTAAAAATATCAAAAATTTTTACAAACACCCTATAAAAATTTACAAATATTGTTTTTAATTATAAAAAAAATTAACCAGTTCCCACATGTGATTAATAAATCAATTATATATTTATAATTTTATTTCTTAGTGATTTCTTAAAAAAAATATATTTAATTAACACATTAAGAATA